AATTAGGTGGCTGAAATTTCGCTCTGCTTCTGTGTAAGTGAATTGGAAGTCTGAATTTTTAAATTTAGTCTTTTTGAAGTCAGTATGTCAAATCACTTCTGTATACATATCCATTCGATGCAGAGTGTATCAAGGATTGATGGAAGCCTTTCAGCAAGTAGTGGCTGAGCGTTCCTTGGTTAGGAGGGTGTAAGTCCCTTGTGAGAAGTCCCAGATGAACTGGTGTTCAGTCTTGTAAACAGCGCAAGCACATCTATTTAAATATTGGCCGGGCAACGTGTCACTGCGACCCAGCCAGGATGGAATGAGCCTCGGCGGGGAGCGGCCGTCCTCAGTGTGAGGCTGAGAGCTGGAGCTCCTGCTGAGCTCCTCTCTTCACACCGGGGCGGTGCCCTCTTCCTCCGAGGCTCTCGGTTCTCGTCATCTCAGGCCAAGTCCCCTTTCCACACTCACTCGCACACGCTTCCTCTCGGATGCTCCTCTTCCGCATGGTCCACACGCGGCCCGTTTCCCGCAGCCCCCGGATCTCCTGCCGACCTCTCTCTGCTGACAGTCACCCCAGCGCCTGCTTGGAACTCTCTCTTCCCCCATCTCCGTTTCATCACTGGGTGTGCCGGGCCCTCAAAACGGGTCGGTGTCTTTCTGCTTCCCAGTCCCACGGTGTCCACCGTTCTTCATAAAACCGTGTCGCGGAAGTATCACTACTGGCATGTTAACTCTGTTCATTCTCACTCATCAAAACGGCCCCTTCCAATATGATGCCGAGTGAAACAAGCCAGTCTGAGAAAGACAAGTAGCCTGCGCTCTCACTTACCTGTGGAATCTAGCGAACACAATGAACTGACCAACAAAATAAGACCGGAAGCAGGGAGGCATGGGACAGACCGACACCTCGATGTGGGGTTGGGGGATGAGAAGAGACAAACCAAAGAACTTACATACAGGCATAGCCCATGGCCACGGGCAATAAGGTGGTGAAGCCTGGGGGGTGGGTAAGGGCTGGGAGGAGGGGGGCAAGGGGAGGGAAAACGGGAGATATCTGTAATACTATCAACAATAAAAATATATTAAAAAAATAAATCCAGTTGATTCTGGAAGAAAAACCAACGAAACGAAAACAGCCACTTCCAGGCTAGAAGATTAACTGGCCACTGACCGCGGGCCCGCTCCGTGCTGTGTACTGTGCGTGTCACCTACGGTCTCTGACGTAGCTGGCGCTTCAAGGTGACATCTCCTGCTTCTTGGTCTGATGAGTGATTTTCGTCAAAGCCTGGACGGTGGGTGTTGTGCTAAGAAATCCTGGTTCTCATTTAAACCCTCCGTTTCAGTACAACTGAGAGCAGCACTGTGGTGCGGGAAGGGCACCCCCTCATTGATGTGGGGGGTGGAGGGGCGGGCAGGAATCCAGGTTCTAACCCCGCCTCTGCTGACACCTGCAGGGGACAGGCCCTGGTTCCCGCTGGTTGGGGTAGGGTTTAGGCTCCCATGTGACCTTCAGTGACTGCTGGGAGGTGGTGACCGTCCTGCCTGTCCCCAGGCCCCTTCAGACTCCACCCGCTGGGAAGGGAGAGAGGCACCTTATTGTCACCACCAGGAGGGGTGGACGTCCAGGCTCCCCACCGGGCCTCCAGGACCCCACAGCGAGAGGGGCTGCCCAGCCATGTGACAGTCGGCTCCTCTCCTCACGCAGCCGGTCGCCACCCTGGCGCAGGGCTCGGGGCCTAAGCTTTTTGGAATTTTCTAGATTGCTGTTTCTCCAGTGCCCGGTCTGAGACACACGAGGCAAAATGAAGTCCAGGGCACTTACTGCCACGTGGTTCCTCTGTCTCCACTGCTCAGTCTCAGTCTCGTTGTCTGCAGTGTCCGGGGTCCAGCTGTGCTCGGCAGGCGGAGGGGAGTGTGTGTGTCCACCTTCTGGAAGTGGAGTCCAGCACCAGGACGGCCATGATTGCCCACAACCCGGACAAGGAGGGTTTGTGGCCGTGAGTTCCCAGGTGGGACTTGGGGAGACACATCTCGCAGGGCCTGGCTGGGCTGCAGGGCAGGAGGCTCAGCGGGTCTCGGGTGGGTGACGGCCGATGGGGTCAGAGACAGTGACATCTGATGTCTCAAAGCATCTCCTCCCCTGTGTCCCACTCGCTCTCCGGTTCCCCTCCCCCCGCCTCCCCCCCCCCAATCTCCAGGAGGCGCCCCTTAGGCACAGCCCCCAGTCTTGGAGAAGGAAGGGGGTGGGAGAGGAGGTTAAGTGGTTGTGTTTGGGGCCAAGGAGAGGGGAGGTGGCAGGGCCGGTGGGGAGCCTGCCCAGCGGCGGGCACTGGGGACAAGGAGCTGAGTCACGATGAGCGAGGTCTCGGGGTGCGGAGGCCGTGCTGGCGTGGCTCCGGCTCACGCTCTGCTGCTTGGGTGGAGAGAAGCACCTCTCCTGGTGCCCTTGTGCCCAGTCTGCCTGGCAGCTCTGCCCCCCCCCCCCCCCGCCCCCAGCGCTCACCTTCACAGCCACCTGGGCCTCGCCCTCTCCAGGGGGGTCTGCAGTGGCGTCAGCTCACTGCCCCCAGTTCCCTGACCCCACAGCACGCATCCCTCCAGGATGTGAATTCCAGGGTCCCCAAGGCACCAAACCCGGTGGAGCGGAGCGCCTGGCCCGGGCAGGAGGCGCTGACGCCACTGTCGCTTCCCGGGGCCAGCGAGGATGACTGGGCACAGGCTGGGGGCCCGCTCTGCGCGTGCGCCCTGGGTGGCTGTCCCATCAGGCTGTGATGCTCCGTCCTGACAGTGAGGGACAGCGCTGCTCCCACAGCCCGGGGGTAACTTGCCCATATAGGGGCGGCAGGGCCGCTGGGGGGGCGCTTCCTCGTGCGCTTTCTTTACAGCCTCTCCAGCCATCGAAGTCAGTGGTTCTCAACCTTCCTAACGCCGCGACCCTTTCATACAGTTCCGCATGTTGTGGTGACCCCCAACCATAAAATTATTTTCGTTGCTACTTCAAAACTGTAATTTTGCTACTGTTATGAATCATAATGTAAATATCTGATATGCAGGATGTATTTTCATTGTTACAAGTTGAACATAATTAAAGTATAGTGATTAATCACAAAACAATATGTAATTATATATGTGTTTTCCGATGGTCTTAGGCGACCGCTGTGAAAGGGTTGTTTGACCCCCAAAGGGGTCGCGACCCACGGGTTGAGAACCGCTGATCTAGGTCCAAGCCTCATTCTTTACTATGCCCACTCCCCAGGCGGAGTGGTCGCCAAGCCCCGCCAGTGCTTCTGACACCCAAGACGTGTGTCTCCATCCGCCACCCCTACAGCTGAGAAGCAGCCTGGCCAGGGCCAGGGTGGGCGTGGGGAGGCCAGGGGGAGGCTGTGCTCGTCAGCTGGTCAGGCTGGGGGGCCGAGGAGACAGGGGCAGCGAGGGTGTAGGGGAGGGTCCGTGCCCGAGGGATGGAGTGCGGTTTCGCTGTAGGATCGGAGGCTGATGAGGGAGAGGGCGGAGGTTCAGGACGCGCTCAGGTTTGCTACTGGACAGCAGTAGCATGTCGAGGAGGGGCATGTGGGACAGGTGGGATGTGAATTGTCCGTGGAGCATCCAGGTGGCGTGGGCCGGAAGCTTGACAGACAAGTCTGGCTGGAGCTGGTGCTGGAGCTGGGGCTGGAGCTGGGGCTGGGGCTGGAGCTGGGGCTGGAGCTGGAGCTGGAGCTGGAGCTGGTGCTGGAGCTGGGGCTGGGGCTGGAGCTGGTGCTGGAGCTGGGGCTGGGGCTGGGGCTGGAGCTGGAGCTGGAGCTGGAGCTGGGGCTGGGGCTGGGGCTGGAGCTGGAGCTGGGGCTGGAGCTGGAGCTGGAGCTGGTGCTGGAGCTGGGGCTGGGGCTGGAGCTGGTGCTGGAGCTGGAGCTGGGGCTAGTGCTGGAGCTGGAGCTGGAGCTGGGGCTGGGGCTGGGGCTGGGGCTGGAGCTGGGCTAGAGCTGGTGCTGGAGCTGGAGCTGGAGCTGGGGCTGGGGCTGGGGCTGGAGCTGGAGCTGGGGCTGGGGCCGGGGCCGGAGATGTTGGAGCCGTGGGCTGACGTGATTCCTCAGGAAGGATGTGCAGAGCAGGGCTTCTACCTGTTTTTAAGCCCACACACACTGTCAGTTAAAATAACTGTTGAGTTTTACTTCCCATGGTTTGTATCACAAACACAAAAATGGGATAGTAAACAACACTGAGTAGTTATATACAAATACTGTGCTTTAAAAAAAAACCATATTTTTATTGATTTCAGAGAGGCAGGGAGAGGGAGAGAGATAGAAACATCAATGGTGAGAGAGAGTCATTGATCGGCTGCCTCCTGCATGCCCCATACTGGGGATTGAGCCCACAACCCAGGCATATGCCCTGCCTGTGACCAGGAATTGGACCATGGCCTCCTGGTTCATAGGTAAACGCTCAACCACTGAGCCACGCCGGCCGGGCCATCCTACGCTACTGATCGTGCCTGTTTTGTTCTCTGCCATCCCCTCACTGCCTGGCTCCTGTCTGCTACTGATGGGCTCTAAACAAATACTGGTAGAGGGAAGGGGGAAGGAGGGAAGAGGGAGGAAAGGGGGGAAGGAGGGAAAGAGGGAAGGAGGGAAGGAAGAGGGAAGAGGGAAGAGGGAAGGAAGGAGGGGTGGGGGATGGATGCAAGGAAGGGGATTGCTTTCTCCCTGTGGGCCTGAGCCTGTTGCCCACAAAGCCCCGAGCTTCGTCTTTTCTGTGTAAAGATGAATTTGGAAGCCACCCAACCCTCTTCTGCACCCCCATGTCCTCAGCAAGACTCTCACCCCCGACTGGCCACACGAGTGTCCTCGGGGAGCAGACGCGGGTGGAGGAGCCCTTGTGCGCAGCAGAGGAGACAGGGCGGCGCTGCTCTCCTGAGTGCCCGTGGGCGGGGGCAGTGGGCACAGCGGCTCCATAAAGGCTCCCTGGCCAGAGCCCTGGGGCAGAGCGCCTCTACCCCTTCACCCCCTGAAGGGCCCAGGATGGCGCTGGCCCTGTGGATCTTCGGCCTGCTGGCCTCTGCCTGCCTGGTGTCAGCCAACATCTTTGGTGAGTTCCCCACCCGAGGCCATGGAGCAGCAGGAGGAGGCCAGAGCCCCTCAGCCAGCCAGGCTCTGCCCCAGGGCCTTTGCACATCCTTGGTCTCATTTAATCCCTGCAGTGTCCCCAGGTTGCTTATTTGCTCTTTCTAGATGAAGAGACAGAGGTTCTGAGAGGAGGTCTCAACTGTCTAAGGTCACTTAGCTCGTGATTGGTGCACAGGAGATGGGAAACTCGATCTTCCTAATTTAATTCTAACTCCCCCCACCCCATGCTGTTAGCGGATTTTTTAAAAATATTTTTTTATGATTTCAGAGATGAAGGGAGAGGGAGACAGAGATAGAAACATCAATGGTGAGAGAGAATCATGGATCGGCTGCCTCCTGCACGCCCTACACAGTGGATCGAGCTCACAACCTGGGCAGGTGTCTGCTCCCAAATGGAACCGTGACCTCCTGATTCATAGGCTGATGCTCAACCACTGAGCCACGCCGGCTGGGCCGCTGTTAGCAAGCTTTCGACATGGACAGTTTTATTTCTTAGGTGTCTCGAGGCCCAGGTCATCAGACGTGGGGCAGTCAGCAGGTAGTGTGAAACCTACCCGTGGGGGGCATGCACCTGCGTTCTGGGCGCGGCTCCGCCACTTCCTGTGTGGCTCTGGGTGCGTCGAGGCTTCCGTTTCTCGCTGGAAAGGAAGAGGTGGCACTTGCCTCCTGATGCGATTTCCGAGTGAGCCCTCGCATATTTCATGTGTCTCAGTGCAAACAAGACACGCAAGACTCGTCCATTAATTCCTATTTCTACTCTGTGCCCGGGTGCTCTGTCTGCAGGGAGGGCTTTGATAATTCGATGGCACCCCCTCGCTGGTGTTCCGCCAAGCCCGACCGCGGCTGGGGCGGGGGGCGGGGTGCAGTCCACAGTTTGCCCCGAACCCTTCTCTCGGCAGCTGTGTGGCCCTGAGCAGGTCCCTTTCCCCTCCCGGTCTTAGTGTCACATGGACAGAATGGAGATTTCACCCCCTCCGCCCCTCCCAGGATTTTGTTGAGAATTAAATGAGCTCCTGTCATACGTGGAAAAGTGATCAGTTGAAAATTTGTGGGTTGGAACCTCATGGTTGGTGATGATGCCAGAAATAAGACCTTGTACCTACGGGACCCGTCCTGGTTCCGGAGTCCAGGCCCCGCGCTGACGAGCCCCTCTCCGCAGAGTACCAGGTGGACGCCCAGCCGCTCCGTCCCTGTGAGCTGCAGAGGGCCAGGGCCTTCCAGGAGCGAGCCGACCACGTGCCCCAGTGCGCTGAGGATGGCAGCTTCCAGTAAGGGCTCCCTCCCTCCACCGTGTGGACTTGCAGGGTCCGAAGGGCCTTAAAAACCACCTCCCCCTCCCCCTGGGGCTAGAGCATGAGTGACGAGGCTGCAGGGGTCAGCGAGCCAGGAGAGGAGAGCTTGCCGTCCCATCACCCCCCACCCCCACTCCCTACTCACCCCCACTCCCTCTCTCCCTCATCACACGCATCACAGCCGGGGAGATGGGAGGCCGAGGGCAGGGAGCTGGGTGAGTCTTCGGGAGCCCTCATGTGTCCACGCTGGTGTCTCCCCGCCTCAGGACCGTCCAGTGCCGGAGTGACGGCCGCTCCTGCTGGTGTGTGGGCGCCGACGGCAGGGAGGTGGCTGGCAGCAGGCAGCCTGGGCGGCCCGTGGCGTGTAAGTGTGCAAGGGGGTGACGGGGTGTCCCATGGGAAGGGGGGACCTGGCGAGGGCCACACACACCTGGGAAAGAGCTCTGGGCGTGGCACGTGCCCAGGCCAGTGTCCCTCTGGGCTGCTGGTTCTCCTTGCGTGAGGCCGACAGTCCTGCACGCCAGGCCCGTGCCCCGCAGGGCTCCTGTGCAATCATGTGGGACCATCAAGGCACGTGGTGAGCAAGTGGGTGCGGAGTCCCTCCCCTCCGGGCCAGGGTCTGGGCCTGGGGCTGAGTCCCCCTGTGAGCAGACATTCCAGGCTGGGACCCAGAGAGCAGCTTGGGCAGCCCAAACGTGTCTTACCGAGTGTTTCTGAGATTTGAGGCTCAGGAAAAAGCTTCCCTGTTAAAATAGCGACTATGATGAGAACTCAAATTAACAGTCCCTGTTTGGGGCATGACTTAGTTAAGCCTAAAACAAAGATCAGCTTAAGCTGGTCACATTTAGTTAGTTGGTTAGTTAGTCCTCACCCAAGGATATTTTTCCGTTGATTTTTAGAGAGAGTAGAAGGAAGGGGGAGAGACAGAGACATCGATGTGAGAGAGACACATCGATGAGTTGCCTCCTGTACACACCCTGATCAGGGCTGGGGATCAAGCCTAAGACCCAGGTACATGCCCTTGACCGGAATTGAACCCACAACCCTTCATCTCGTGGGCTGATGCTTTATCCACTGAGCCAAAACAGCTAGGGTTTTTTTTTTTCTTTAAATTTAATTAAACAGTTTTTTGAGGTCATCTTTAAATGGAGAGATTGAGTCTAGGACCAGCGATCCTGTCGGGGAGGAGAGCTGGGACTTGGGCGCTGGCCTTTCAGGGCCGGCCCGCTGGCTGGGGAGCAGGCTGGCTCCTGACACTCCCTGGATGACACTGGCCAGGCCCCACGCCCCACGCCCCACGCGCTGCGGCTCCTCGTCTGTACCGGGAACATAGCATCAGCCTCACGGGTGTGTGAGGGTTAACACACGTGTACAGCCCCCGGCGCACAGGGATGCTCGGTAGGGGCAGTCATCATTCTGTCACTCCTCCTCCTCTCGCTGAGGAAGGCACATGGACTTTCTGATAAGTCTATCGATGAGGAGGGGGAGGCACAGAGTGGGGAAGCGACTGCCCCCAGGCTGCACAGCAAGCACGCGGGGCGATTTGGATGGAGACAAGCTCTGTTCACAGCCAGGCCTGTACCCCATCCACACCCACCTCTGCAGCACCAGGCGGCGGGGTGTCCGGGAGACCGACGGGCAGGGGGCAGCCTGCCCTTCCCGGCCTCGGCCGCAGGATGCTGGAAGGAATCCCGGGATAGAGGTGGACACGCTGGTCCTGAGCCTGCCCCCAGCGCGCTGAGCATCCACGGCCTGTGCGACCTCTAGGGAGGCCGGGAAGTCCGGGCTGAGACCTGACGCTGCCCCTCGCCCACAGGCCTGTCCTTCTGCCAGCTGCACCGGCAGCAGGTCTTGCTGAGCGGCTACCTCAACGGCACGGCCGCCTCCTACCTCCCTCAGTGCCAGGATTCGGGGGCGTACGCGCCGGTGCAGTGTGACATGCGGCGGGAGCAGTGCTGGTGTGTGGACACGGAGGGCATGGAGGTGTACGGGACCCGCCAGCGGGGCAGGCCCACGAGATGTAAGTCCCCAAGCTCCCGGGGAGGGGGGGCGGTGTGCTCTCCCCACGGGACAAGGGCAGAGGGCCCAGCCCTCGGTGCAGAGATGAAAGCATTTAGGGAAGATCTTATGACTTCTTATTTTTATAAAATGTCTAATGACCTTGATTTATTATTATTATCTTCTAAAATCTTTATTGTTGAAAGTATTATGTATGCCTCCTCTCCCTCCACCCCTATTGACCCTTTCTAGCCTGCCCTGCCCCCGCCCCAGGCCTTCGCCACCCTATTGTCTGTGTCCGTGGGCTCTGCATGTAAGCATCCACGGTTTTTGGTTGATCACTTCCCACCCAAACACCTCCGCCACCTTCCCTCTGAGGTTTGAGTCTGTTCCACGCTTATATTTTTTATTTTTTTAAAATGTGTTTTTATTGATTTGTATAGAGAGAAGGGAGAGGGTTAGAGAGACAGAAACAACGATGAGAGAGCAACATCATCAGCTGCCTCCTGCACATCCCCCATTGGGGATCGAGCCGCAACCTGGGCACATGCCCTGCCCGGGAGTAGAACCAGCCACCTCTTGGTTTCTAGGTTGATGCTCAACCGCGGAGCCCACCAGCCGGGCCCTGCTGATTCTGTCTAACGTTTCCACGTGCTGGTGGGGGATCAGTACTTGCCGGCTGATGCTCAGGAGCATCGCAGGATCTCGGTGTCTGGGTCCCTGTCTGGGTCTCAGCTGTCACGTGGGTGCATGACTCTGGGCCTGTGGAGGGCAGAAGCACAGGCACCTGTTCATACATGAGACGTGAGCATTTCTCCTTGGAAACGTCTAGGTCCCAGGAGCTGTGAGATCAGGAACCGCCGCCTTCTGCACGGAGTGGGGGACAAGTCGCCCCCCCAGTGTTCTCCGGACGGCGGGTTTCTGCCCGTGCAGTGCAAGTTTGTCAACACCACGGACATGATGGTCTTCGACCTGGTCCACGGTTACAACAGGTAAGGGGAGCCGGCCTCGGGGCGCGCCCGTCGCTCACCTGGGGGCTGGGTGCTGCGAGGTGTCATGCACTCGGCCTGGTGGGAATCGGAGAGGCAGGCCGGGGTTCCTACGCTGCTGAAGGGCATCTGAAGGGCGGCCGCATTGTGAACAAAGCACGCCGGCAGCCGCTATGCCAATTAAAATGCATGGACCCTCGGGCCCAGCCAGCCCGCGGGAGTAAAAACACCAGAAGGGGAGGACACAGGTACTAGGAGGTCTCCTGCATCGGCTTCCATCGTAGCAGAAACCTGGGGACAAAGTGACTGAGCCCCCCGCGGTCCCCACCGTAAATGTTTATGCGGCGTTGAGCAGAACTGCGCCGCTCAAGGGTTGAGGGTTCTGCAGTGTAGCATGCGCAGCTACAAGGTACAGGGTACGGATAGCAGGGTAGGACTTAGTATGTATTTATTTATTTTATTGATTTCAGAGATGAAGGGAGAGAGAGAGATAGATAGAAACATCAATGAAGAGAGAGAATCATTGACCGGCTGCCTCCTGTACACCCCCTACTGGGGATGGAGCCCCCAACCCGTTGTGCGCCCTGACCTGGAACCGAACTGTGGCGTCCTGGTTCATAGGTCCACGCTCCACCACTGAGTCGCTGACCAGGCTGATTTAGTTTTTAGAAAACACACCAGCAAACGGTCCTTTCATGTGCACATCTGCATGGATGGTTTTCCCGTGTCTGCGGAGCACCAGGCGGCACAGGGAGTGATGTGAATGGGCGCAGCTGGGTGGGGACACAGGCACGGAGGGCCAGGCTCCTGTGGAGAGGGATCAGCAGGAACGGCAGCCGGTGCCATGAAAAGCACGGGCATGATCATGTCTATGCTTCTCTGTAAATTGTCTATGCATGTGCTTACAAGTCAGTTTAAAGATGTAAATAGCAAACCTCAAAAGGGAGACGCAGGATGGATCTCCGCCAGTCATCAGATCACCAGCCCATTCTTGTGAAGGCCCCGGGGTGGGGAGTGGGGGGAGCGGGGGAGAGTTGGGCCGTTCTGAATGCCGCCGACCCTCTGAATGCAGCTTTGCTTTCTGAGGTTTCAGTTACTCGAGGTCCGCCCTGGCCAGTTTGGCTCAGTGGGTAGAGCGTGGGCCCATGGACTGAAGGGTCCTGGGTTCGATTCTGGGCAAGGGCACATACCTCGGTGGCAGGCTCCATGGGGAGGCAACCAATCAATGTGTCTCTCTCACATGGATGTTTCTCTCTCTGTGTCTCTCCCCGTCCCTTCCACTCTCTCTAAAAATCAATGGAAAAATATTCTCAGGGGAGGATTAACACAAAACAAAACAATGTCTCAAGGTCCGCCACAGTCCAAAAAATATGAAATGCGGAATTCCAGAAGTCAGCAATTCATACGTTGCACGGCGCTCTGGGTCACATGAGGAAGTCTCGCAGTGCACTCGGACGTGACTCAGCCCTGTGTCCAGCGTCGCCGTCGCTGCTCTGCCCGCGGGCACTTAGGAGCCACGTTGGCTATCAGATCGATACCCTGTCGTGGTGTCCTGGTGGCTGGTGGCAAGTCGCCCCGATTTTATTTATTAACGGTCCCAACGCACAAGAGCAGTGATGCTGGCGGTCCAGGCCCACCATGGAGAGGCCGGCAAGGGCTCCCTTGAAGGAGAAGGTGGGCGCCGTCCAGTTAGACGCCCACAGGGCCTTGACCGCAGTGTATCGGTACAGTTGTCCTACTTCATTACTCGCTGCTTTCTGTGCCTCTCTTTCTGTGCCTGCTTCAGCATTTAAACTTTATCACAGGTGTGTCTGTGTAGGAAAAAGCAGCCTATAGAGATAGGGTTTGCCACTCTGTGGCTTCAGGCATCCCCTGGGGGTCTTGGGACGTAGCCCTCAGGGATCAGGGGGGACTAGAGTAAAAATAACTGAGCATATTAGGCTGAGAATACTGGTGGGAATTCTCTTGGAGGAGCGAGCCTCTATGTGGCTGTCCTCCAAACACCCCGTTTCTTTCCCTGTGTGAGAGGGAGCCTCGGGCTGTGCTGTGGTGGGAGCTGCCCCACAGGCTGGGCTTGTGGGAGCTGCAGGGTAATTGAAGAACTGGGGAGTTTTAAGTTGTGTAGGTAAAAATAGCTGAACACCAGCAGTTTCACTTGTTCAACCTGACGTGCGAAATTCCGAGTTCCTGATTCTGAGGAACAAGGTGGGGGGCTGTGTGCGTTCTCCCGCGGCACCAGGAAACGGGCCCGGAAATGCTGCTTTTGGACGGAGCACGCACCCTCCGGTGCTCCGGTGTTCGCGCTGCCTGCCCCGTCCCTCTGCAATACCTGCCTGGCCCCGTAGCATTTGTCCTTGTGACTCTCATTCGGACTCTGACAGTGTTTGGCAAAGTGACCTAGTCCCTTACCCTCTCTGAGCCTCAGTCTCCCCATCTGTAAAATGGGGACAGCTCCCTGCTTCTTAGGGTGTGGTGCAGACCCGATGAAACCTCGTCTATGAAACCACTGTGAAAACTATAAATATGATGCATTTCTAGGGAATTAATAGTGTACAATCCAACTTCAGCAAATGTAGATTAGGTTCCCCCACCCCCACGCAGGCCCAGGGAGTGGCCTGCCTGTGCGCATATAAGAATCTCCAAAGAGTCTGATTTAGTGGTGCTCATTGATGCAAACCCGTGCGTGCTCAGTTCAAGTTCAAGTGGGTGCTTGCCTCATACAGGGAATTGACATCCTTCAGCCCACTTTAATCCTTACAAGGAAAATCGGATGGGTATTCATGGTCTCTAGCGTACACATGAGGAATTGAAACACCAGAGGTTAAGGAACCCCCTCTAAGAAGCTTCTTTTACGCTCCCACACAACCTCGATTCATCTATTTCCCCTACAGGGCGTGGCATAGAGCCTCGCACACTCGGCCTACAATGTAGGTTTACACTCCCTGCATCAGAGAACTTTGCTGGTGCCACTTTGAGGCGCAATTCACAGCTCCTTCCACAAGAGGGCAGTCGAGTTAAATGCAAAAGTTCAGGACTAAGCATCCATTGTTTAAGACAAACAAACAAAAACGTACTCCTGAAACGGGATCCTTACTTTTTTGTAAGCGAGCATGTCGTCTCAGAGTGCGTTTGATTTAGGAAGGTCATGGGAAGGGTCAGGTAGTTGGTTACTGGAAGCCCAGCCATATTCAGGAATTTGCTGATAAGCAGCCCTGGGCCCAGCGACTCCCCAGGGCACACTGGCAGGAGCCACGGAGGCCACGTGGAAAGTCTAGACTTAGCACCCAGGGTTGCCAGATAAAAAAGCACAGATGGCCAGTTATACCTCAATTCAGATAAGCAGGGGGCGCTTTCTGTCGTATAAATATGCTCCTCCCCACTATTGCACCATGGATTTTGAGCCTGGGGTGGGGGGTTGGGAATATCTTAATAACCATTGTAGTTGGACTTAGAAAAGAATGGACTGGGATTGGGGCAAAGCAGAGTGGGTGCTGGGAGGTGACTCTGGGAGTTTGGGGGCTCGGGGACTGGACCAGGAGAGAGGGGATGACTTGGGCTAGAGCAACTGACAGAGAGGAGGGTGGAGAGACGGAGCGTGTTTGGAGGAGTGTTTACTCCATGAAATCCACAGGACTTGGTGGAGAAAGAGAGAGGGAGGGCGAGGGAGAGAGAGAGTGTAAGGTGAGTTTGGCTTTTCTTGGGGTGGAAGAGTAGGGTGGGGGATCAATGAGAGGGAGGTGAACGCGTGGCTGAGGCCCTCGGGCCCTGGGTGGGATGAAGATGGTTCAAAGACCCTGCCAATGACAATGGCAGAAGCAGCCAATAGTGACGATGATTGTGCTGGGGGAGGAGTCCCACATTCACAGATGGTGGTGCCGGTTCTGACATCCGGTTGCCTATCCAATTGGATTTCAGGAGAAGGAACTCAGGGAAGATTCAGAGCTTGCACTTACATTCAGACACGAATGCAGAGCAGGCAGGGCACCCTCAGGACCTTGCCCTGTCGCAGTGGCAGCTCTCCATCCTCTGCGCTGCCGTTGTTGAACAAGCCTTAGCAGTGGACGAGGGTCCCTGGCCCCTGGTCGTGGCTGGGTGACCTTGAACCGATCCTTCTTTACTCTGAATCCCAATATCCTCGTGTATGAGCAAGTTGATGTATATGACATTTTGCAGATCATCTTTTACAGAGCAGTGGCTGAATGAGCGGAAGCCATGCTTATGCTACGAAAAGCCCTTGCAGTGGTTCTCAACCTTCCGAATGCCGCGACCCTTTAATACAGTTCCTCATGTTGTGGTGACCCCCAACCATCAAATTATTTTCTTTCTTTTTTTTAAAAAATATATTTTATTGATTTTTTACAGAGAGGAAGGGAGAGAGATAGAGAGTTAGAAACATCGATGAGAGAGAAACATCGATCAGCTGCCTCCTGCACATCTCCCACTGGGGATGTGCCCACAACCCAGGTACATGCCCTCGACTGGAATCGAACCCGGGACCTTTCAGTCTGCAGGCCGACGCTCTATCCACTGAGCCAAACTGGTTTTGGCCATAAAATTATTTTCGTTGCTATTTCATAACTGTAATTTTGCTACTGTTATGAATCATAATGTAAATATCTGATATGCAGGATGTATTTAGGCGACCCCTGTGAAAGGGTCGTTCAACCCCCAAAGGGGTCGTGACCCACAGGTTGAGAACCGCTGCCTTAGAGGTTCCAATGAATGAGCTTTTATTATACACCTCCAACGGGGCAAAGTGAACGTTTAGTTTCTATAAGCATGACTAACGAACTGTAGCAGTCTTTTGTCTATAACTTCTGTCTATAATGTCTATACACACAATCATAGACCAACAACATAGAAAAAATCCATAATTCTGTAGCACTTTCCTAGGCCTTTTTTGCATATTCATATCCATTCAAATTAATGTTCAGGCTGCGAGCAGATTCTGCACAATACATCGCCTCCCAGGCCTGGTTCATTTACATGCCCATCCCAGCGGGTGTACGTACAGGCCATTACGCACTCTACCCTTTTCACACGATGTTACGTACACATCCATTGAGGGGGTTTACTCCGATTTACTCTTCCTTTTCCTATCCCCGGGCACGGATGCGGCTTCCGTAGATTGCTAGGCTGATGCCACAGCCGCAGGCTCTGGGTGCTGACGGTTTGGGGATAGATTCCCAGACACAGGTGGCAGCACATCAGGCTCGGGCCTCGGGGACCCGCTCCCTGGGACGTAAGACGAACCCCTCAGCATTGCCTAGAGCAGCAGCAAGCCCTCCGGTTGCTAAGTCACTGACTGTGGGAAGGACGCCTGCCTGTGGCTTTGCATCACCGGAGTCTCAGATGACGTCCCGGTGGGAACGCAGCCGGTGAGCCCCGTAGCAGTCGCCAGGTCAGACGTGAGTTACGTACGCTTTTCCTCAGCCTTCGGAAAGGGCCGGCTCACCCTAGTGAGTGATGTCATATTGATTTTGCGTTTTTGCAAGCTGTGGCCTGGGACATGGCCCGCTCAGGAACTTCCTGGGAGGGGACCTGGCTCCCTGACAAGCTCTCGACAGACCGTGACGGCCCGAGGCTGTTTGATCTCCCAGATGAGGTCATCGCCCTGTGCCACATGTGTGCACGGCAGCCGGGCCTTGCGCCTCTAGAGTTCCGTTCTAGGAGGGGACACGTTCAGGCCACGTGCGTTACCTATGTTCCGCCTGATTCTGCGAGACACGGGCTCGGGTGTAAATCGGTCGAGTGCCACGAGTGAGGAAGACGGCCAGTGGGTAGAGGACAGCTAGGCACAGCTCAGGCCGGTAACACCGATTTAGGAGAGACACACACTCCCCGCAGGAAGCCCGGAGCCCATGGCACAAGATGAATGATCAGAGGTGTCTTTTCCCGCATCTGTTCGCCATGCGTTGCCTTTTAAGAAACGGTGACCGTCCATGTCCTGCCCCTTCAGGTTTCCAGATGCTTTCGTGACGTTCAGCGCCTTCCGGAGAAGGTTCCCGGAAGTGTCCGGGTACTGTCACTGCGCGGACAGTCAAGGGCGGGAACTGGCTGAGACAGGTGAGCGTGCCTCAGGCAATCCCAGGGGAGGGTGGCATCGCCAGGCCCGAGAGCCACAACCTCATTAACCGGCAGAGCGGAGGGAGCCGTGCGGCCTGCGCCCCGGCCAGGCTGCCCTGTGTCCGAGGGGCACGGCTAGCAAACCTTCCAGCATGGTGCTCTGAGCACAGCTGCTCTGGCCCGCGGGGCCCCTTTGTGGGCACGGGAGAGGCGCCCCCTCCTGGCAGAGGCAGCTCTGCACGGGGCCAGTGGAGGAGCAGATGGGCTCCCCTCTCCTCTCTCCCATCAAGCTCCTTGGGTGTGAGCAGCCTGCACAGTGGTACCCAGCAGCCCTGGCTTAGGAACCATTAAGGGCTGGTTCAGGTCTGATGCCCACTTGATGCCGGTGAAGGCTCTAGCCTGGTCCTCTTTTTTTTTTTTAAATCCTCACCCGAATTTTAGAGAGAATGGACGGGAGGCAGAGGAGGGGGAGAAAGAAATGTCCATCCATTGGTTGCCTCCCGCATAGGCCCGACTGGGCAGGCCAAGGATCGGGCCTGTAACTCAAGGTATGCGCCCTTGACCGGGAATCGAACTTGCGACCCTTTGGTCTGCAGGCGACTCTCTAACCACTGAGTGACCGGCCAGGGCAGCTCTGATCCTCTTCCTACCCATGTACGTGGCGAGATCAGGACCCCCTTTGGGAAGGAAGCTGCACCTTGACATGTCTCTGCTCAGGTCTGGAGCTGCTGCTCGATGACATTTACGACACCGTTTTCGCCGGCCTGGCCCTCGCGCCCACCTTCACGGACACCACCCTGTACCGGATCCTGCAGAGGCGCTTCCTCGCCCTTCAGCTCGTCCTTTCCGGCAGGTTCCGATGTGAGTAACCAGCTGGCAACAGATGCCCACGCTGCTGCTGGGAGGGAAGCTCTGAAAGTGGCTGCAGTCTCCCTGGCTATGGTCCCCATGGCTGCAGTTTCTGTGGCTGTGGTCCCCGTGGCTATGGTCCCCATGGCTGTGGTCTCCGTGGCTGTGGTCACATGGTTGTTCCTGCAGAGTGTGGGGGGCGTGAATGCCACCAGCAAGCAGAATGCGTGCTGTGCGCCCACCAGGGGCTGTTGCCTGTCTTCTCTCCCCCCATGGATTTCCTCCAGGCCCCACGAAGTGTGAAGTGGAGCGGTTCACAGCGACCGACTTCGGTCACGCCTACGTCCCGAGCTGCCACCGAAACGGGGACTTCCAGGCGGTGCAGTGCCAGAGGGGAGGCCCGTGCTGGTGTGCGGACGCCCAGGGCAAGGAGGTCCCGGGGACTCGGCGGCAGGACGCGGCGCTGCCTTGCGGTGGGTCTCCCATCGAGGTGTCCTGTTGGGGTCTCCTCAGGTCCTACTACTTCGTTTCTCAGACCACCCGCTCCAGGACGTAACCGAGACACTGGAATTCGAATTTAAACTAACTTTTCTAAACGTGATTGCGGCCATCCTAGGATATTCAGATAGAATGACCCGGCCACGCACGGTGTTGACTGAGTTGATCACTATTTAATGAGTAATTTCAAAGGAAGGTCAAGAAACCTAGAAGAAGGTGTGCGAAGTGGGTTTACCAAGCCTGCATCGTTCTATTACATTATAGGACCGATCATCTCTCCTATGACATAGCATAATAGTACATACTGCAGCATAGAAAAATGTTTATTGTAGGAAATACTAACAGCACTTACATAGGCTTTTTATCCTCAAAGAGACTCTACACTAGCCAGCCGAGACCAGGCTACTCACAAAGAAGAATTGGGCGGCCACACGAAGAGCGGATAATGAAGCGCTCAGTCCATGCAGGGTTCCAGCGGGAGTGTGCCGGAAACCAGCTGCATTAAAAATAGGGATTGGTTGGTGTACCTGCCGCCTAGGGCTGCTGCCCCCAATGACCACGCCCTGGGCGGCTTAAACAACAGACACTTACTCTCTCTCAGTCCTGGAGGCTGGAAGGCGGAGACCCAGGGGTCGGCAGGGCTGCGCTCTCGCTAACGGTGCCCAGGAAGCTCCCTTCCGGCCCGTCCCAGGGAGGCCTCGGCCCCAGCCGGCTGTGCTCTCCCAGTCTCTGCCCTCACATGGCTTCTTCCTGTGTGTCTGTCCATCTCATCACGTGTCCTTCTGGGCAGGACACCAGTCATTGATGCAGGGCCCACTCCAATCCTGTGGGACTTCATCTCGACTAATCACATCCGCCAACACCCTCTCTCCCCAGAGATCAAGTTCCAAGGCTCCAGGTGGACGTGAATGAGGGGCGAGGGAGGAGGGAGACGGTCCAGCCCAGGCTGCTGGTGCACGTGTGCGGCGGGTTTTCGGAAAGTGGGCCGATGTCTAGGAGCCCTCCCTTAGTGGGGGGTCACCCGCCTGGGAGGGCCAGGAGAGGAAGGCGTGTCCGCTGGAAAACTCGTTCCCCAAAGGGGCCTCCCTGGACGTGGCTCAGAGCGAAAGCTAAAAATAAAAGGACGGAGGGGAAAAGTGTAGGTGTCCTGGGCTGAATGTTCTGACATCTTGCTAGCGGGGAGCTCTGAGGGGCTGCTCAGGGGCTGGTGATGCTAACCACGTTTCCTCTGCTTGCCCCGTGCAGCTGGCACCGGGTCCTGTTCCTCCGAGAGGCGGCGGGCCCTGTCCAGACTCCGCTTCGGGCCCTCGGGCGACCTCAGCCTCCGGGCCTCCTTCGTGACCTCCCGAAGAGGAGCCGGAGGGGCCCCGCCCTGCCCGCCCGCCATCAAGGAGCTCTTTGTGGACTCGGGGATCCTCCGCTCCCTCATCGAGGGGCAGAACCCACCGTTTCCCGCCGCAGGGAGTCTCCTCCCAGAAGCCATCCGAGGGCTTTTCCCCTCCCGCGAGCTGGCTCGTCTTGCCCTTCAGTTTACGGCCAACCCAAAGCGCCTCCAGCAGAACCTCTTTGGGGGGAGATTCCTGGCGAACGTCGGCCAGTTTAACTTGTCGGGAGCCCTTGGCACAAGAGGCAGCTTTAACTTCAGTCAGTTTTTCCAGCGACTCGGCCTCCCAGGCTTCCAGGGCGGAGGAGGACTTGTCAATCAAGCCAAACTCCTCTCTGCGGGACTGGATTCGAATCCTGCTGTGGAAATGCCCGGAGCCGCGAAGGAAGGCAGGGCTATGAATAAGACAATTGTGGGCAGCTTTGGCTTTGAGGTCAACGTGCAAGAGAACCAAAACGCCCTGAAATCCCTCGCTTCTCTCCTGGACCTTCCGGAATTCCTTCTGTTCCTGCAGCACGCGGTGTCCGTGCCGGAAGACATAGCCAGGGATTTGGGTGACGTGACGGGAATAGTGCTCAACTCCCAGGGCTGTGAGCTGACACCCGGCGGCCTTTATGTCCCGTCATGCACGGCAGAAGGAAGCTACGAAGATGTCCAGTGCTTTGCCGGAGAGTGCTGGTGTGTGGACTCCCAGGGCAAAGAACTGCCCAGCTCCAGGGTGAGAGGTGGACGGCCACGGTGCCCCACAGAGTGTGAGAAGCAAAGGGCTCGGAGGCTAAGCCTCGCGGGCAGCCAGCCCGCAGGCTCCAGTCTGCCCGTGCCTTCCTGTACCCGCCAGGGGCACTTCTTACCCGTTCAGTGCTTCGACTCCAAATGCTACTGTGTGGACGAGGAGGGTCAGGCCATTCCTGGAACTCAAAGTGCACCTGGGCGACCCCAGCAATGTAAGTCCGTCGGGTGTTCCACCTACAAACTCCGCTTCTCTCTGGGGGCCCTGACACAGTGCATTGCAGAAAAAAGAATGCAGTCATAGTGAAGCCTCACACTCTGTTAGAGGCCAAATTTTCTGGTTAATTTAAAAATTGTCCAGAAAACTCTTTTTTTTTTGTTTAAATATATATTTTTACTGATTTGGGAGAAGGAGCGGGAGATAGAAACATCAATGATGAGAGAGAATCATTGATAGGCTGCCTCCTGCACACCCCACACTTGGGATCGGGCCTGCAACCCAGGCATGTGCCCTGACCGGGAATCGAACCGTGACCTCCTGGGTCATAAGATTGATGCTCAACCACTGAGCCCCGCCGGCCGGGCCAGAAAACTCTTGATAACATTAGGCAATTAGGTGAATAGGGAGACTTACTTGGCCTTAAGGAATTGCCCCATAGCTGTCTCCAGTGTTGACAACAGCTGGTCTCCACAGTCCCTGAGCAGTGATGGGGGTGCTCTCTGTCCACAGGTGGTGGGACCTGTGGCCGTGAAAGGGCTCAGACGGAATTTGGACACTTAAGAGCTCTGCCTCGGTCTCCTGTGCTGACCAAGCTCCTTCGCCTGACACTGTGCTCCTTTTCCTCCCCAGGCCCCACACCCTGTCAGCTGCGGGCCGAGCGCGCCTTCCTCAAGGCGGTGCAGACCCTGGTCTCCAACTCCAGCCTGCCGCCCGCTCTCTCCAGCGTCTACATCCCGCAGTGCAGCGCCCGCGGGCGGTGGAGTCCCGTGCAGTGTGACGGGCCCCCCGAGCAGGCCTTCGAGTGGTACGAGCGGTGGAGGGCCCAGGACAACGGTGGCCGGGAGCTGACGGCGGCCGAACTGCTGACGAAGGTCCTGAGCTACAGAGACGCAGCCTCCGGCAGCTTCCGCCGCTTCCTGCAAAGTCTGTATGAGGCCGGCCAGCAGGGCGTCTTCCCCGGGCTGGCCAGGTACTCCTCTCTCGGCGAGGTCCCGCCGGCCGTGCTGGACGGGAACCGGACCCGGCCCGGGGGCAGCGTCCTCCTGGAGCCCTACCTCTTCTGGCAGATCCTACGCGGCCAGCTCCGCCGGTACCCAGGGCCCTACTCGGACTTCAGCGCCCCGTTGGCGCACTTGGACCTGCGGACCTGCTGGTGTGTGGACGAAGCCGGTCAAGAACGGGAGGGCACCCGGACCGAGCCAGGCGAGGTCCCTGCATGTGAGTCCAACCCTGGGAGGAACTGAATTTGTACTTTTAAAAAAATATTTTTTAAAATTTATTTTAGAGAGAGAAAGGGAGAGGGAGAGAACGACAGAAACATCAATGATGAGAAAGAATCATTGACTGGCTGCCTCCTGCAAGCCCACACTGGGGATCAAGCCTGCGACCCAGGCATGTGCCCTTGACTGGAATCGAACCCAGGACCCTTTAGTCCTCAGGCCAACGCTCTACCCACTGAGCCAAACAGGCTAGGGCAGCCGTGGGCAAACTACGGCCCGCGGGCCGAATCCGGCCCGTTTGAAATGAATAAAACTAAAAAAAAAAAGACCGTACCCTTTTATGTAATGATGTTTACTTTGAATTTATATTAGTTCACACAAACACTCCATCCATGCTTTTGTTCCGGCCCTCCGGTCCAGTTTAAGAACCCATTGTGGCCCTCGAGTCAAAAAGTTTGCCCACCCCTGGGCTAGGGTCAACCAACTCCTCTTATGATGGACTTGTTACTTGCAAGGACACTGCTGGGTGCTCGGGACCTCAGCAGGTGCTTCCGCCTTCCAGCGCTTTTAATGGGCTTGAGGGAGTGAATGAGAGGGCCGATAGGAGAGCTGCTGACCGAGGTCTGTAGGTCCAGGCTGACGACAGGTCCCTGGGAGAGAGCTGCCTGCCGTGTGTGAGGCACAAGCAGAACGAGGCGGAGTCAGTGTCAAACCCAAAGGCCTTTTGCCCGATGGACCTACCAGCAGCAGCTGGAGGCAATGCCCAGGCAGTTTCATCGCTGCTATTGTCCAAGCAGAATCTCCAGCCAGCCTTGCTGCTGGTACAAGTAGTTCTAGCCGTTCAAGTCCAATCCAGTCTCTCCGGTCACTGAGGCAAGGCTCAGCATCGCCCAGACCTTTCTGGGGAGTGTGAAAGCCGAATATTTGACGTCGGCCGAAGCTAAGGCTTGTAGAAGGTTTGGTAACAGAGATGTGGATGAGAGCTGCCATGCCTGGGCATTCACATGTCAAGTTCTAGAGAAAGACCAACCCTCGAAGTCAACACGTCGCTGTCGGCTGTGGCATAGGTTAAATGAGCTGGTCTGAGTGCCCGTGCCTAGTCCAGAGCCTGGAGGGGAGCAGACACTAGCGATGATTAACCTCCTTCCATAGTAGGTCCCCTATCAATGCTGAACGAATGAGATTGTGGAGACAAAACGGAAAGAACATTCCAGGTTGTGGAAGGAGCTGGTGGGAAGCAAACAGCTGAGGCATCCATGTGTGTGTGTGCACATGTGTGCACGTGTGTGCACACTGCAGAGGGGTCAAGGGAGCCGTAGGTGGGGCGCACCCACCTGCAGTGTCTTCATTCCCCAGGTCCCGGCTCCTGCGCGGACGCGCAGCTGCGTGCTCTGCAGTTCATCGCGGACTCGGAGGAGGTGGTCTCGGCTTCCAACAGCTCCTGGTTCCCTCTGGGGGAGAGTTTGCTGGCGGCCTCGGGAATCCGGCTGAGCAACGAGGAGCTCGGCCTGCCCCCCGGCTCCCCACCCCGGGAGGCCTTCTCCCAGCAGTTTCTGCGCGGCAGCAAGGATGCCCTTCGCCTGGCAGCTCAGTCCAGTGAGTGGCGCGCTCTGGTTTCTTGTTCCATCTCTTGGGGGAGCAGGAGCTGGAGTGGGCTTTGCGGCCTCGGTTTCCCCAGGCCAGTGGGTTCCTGGGAAAGCAGAGGCGGTGGTTGTGAGGTGCCCTTCCAAGCCGGATGTGCATACTCTCCAAGATGCTCCCACACCCTCCAGCGCCACCCGCAGGCCCCGTGAAGCCAAGCGCTCTTGCTAAAGGTGAAGGGCTCCAGCCCCAATACTCACTCTGCCCTCCTAGCCGGCTCCAAAGTCCCCTCCGTTTCTAAGAATCTAGGAGAGGCACCCTTGTCACCAAAACATTACCGGTGTCGGCTCCTTCCCCTGTGAGCCCCTCGGACCCTGCCAGTGACTCCAAACCCACGCCCGTGACCTGCCTGTGACAGAGAGAAGCTCAGAGCATCCACAGTGCTCTCACCCTGGCAACAGCTCAGGGTTCCCCGACACTCTCCCTGGCCTGGCCAGGCATGTGCTGTGCTCGGTGGACAGCTAAGTCTTGCATCTGACCCCCCAGCAGTTCTGTGAGAATGACGCTGCCACCACCATCTGCGAAGTTCTCAAATGCGGAAACCGAGGTTAAGCCACAGGCCCAGGTTCCCCCATGAATAGCTAGCAGAGCCTGGATGTGCAGCAGCGGGTCCGGCTCTGAGCCTCTTGCCCTGCCAGCCGGTCCCCAGCCAGCCCTGTCTCATCCCAGAGCCCCTGCTCGCCCTTCACCCCCTGCAGCCGGCTCGGTGGGGTCCCCTGCCCCTCCCCGCTCTCTCACTGACCCCACCATCCTCAGCGGGACAAAAGGTTCCGTCTCCAAGCCTCTCCTAAGCCCCCATCTCTGGTCATATTACTCAGCTGACACCCCGTCTGGGGTTTTCTGGGCTTGGGTCACACACAACAAAGTGGTCACCCCGACACCATCCGAGCCCCTGAGGGAGACAGAGCACACCCACTCCTGCCTGCACAGCCTGGGCTGCTGCTGCCTCCGTTCTCCCAACCCCACAGGAGGCAAGAACCTCCCACGGTCCGTCTGTTTCCTGCTCCCCTGCCCCTGCCCTCTCCTTCGGAGGACCAAGCACTGGTCTCCTCTTATTCTTCCTTCGATCCCTGGCCTGGCACCCTGCCTGGCAGATGGCAGGAGCCCCGTTAGTGCTGGTTCACCAACCTTCCTGCTTCTGCCCCCTCCTCCTTCCTCTTCTGTCCCCTCCCACCCCCAAGCCCTGCACTTCCTTTCTCTGTTCTTCCGAGGCGCGAGGACTTCTGCTTTGGGCAAGAAACCAGTCCTTTCGAGTTTTGTGCGTGGCTCGGGATCTGACCTAACGAAAGAGTGGAGGAGTGGGATTTCACCCGGAGCTGGGACCACTCTGGGCAGGGAGGGAAGTGGAGGCAGGGGCACGGAAGCTGTTGGTGCCACAGGGATCTGTTCCTTGAATGGCAATGATGCCATTTTCTCCCGAAGTCGGGCTAACGGGGATCCCCTCCATGCAGCGCACGCTCTGCAGCTTCATTCTCGTGTCTGGTGCTGAGACAGAGGAAGTGTCCCCGGGAAGGGGCAGGGCTGCTCATTCCCCTGAATCCCTCCGGATGAGGAGAGGCGGCTGGCCTGCTGCAGAGGGGAGGGAGCTCCGTGTGTGCGTGTGTGTGTGTGTGTGTGTGTGTGTGCGTGCAGACCTCCAGGTCCTGAGGAGTGTGCGCGCAGACCTCCAAGTGTGTGTGTGTGTGTGTGTGTGTGTGCAGACCTCCAGGTCCTGAGGAGTGAGGCTGGGAGGGCCAGGACAAGGAGGGAAGGAGGGCCGCAGAGCAGTGTCCTCAGTGAGGGGCTGTGGGAGGAAAGGTCCTGGCATGAGCTGGGTGCTGAAGCTCTTTTGATATAAAATAACCCCTGTCAAGTATTAGACCCATTTCGCAGATGGGGACACTGAGGCTCAGAGAGGTTGGCAAGTGGCTCATGATCACACAGCCATGAGGTGCCGGCCAGGAATGAGGCAGAAGCTTAGGAGACTCCTGGGTTCCGTCCGCTGCACCAGAGCGGGTCCCGGTCTCCCGGTGGGTTCCGACCGTGGGGGGTGGTGTCCTGAGGACTGTTAGGTTCTGCTCAGGGAGCCATGGCCCATCTCCGAAGGTGGCGGGTCAGGAGAAGGTCCCCTCCCCCGCATGTGAGGCCGGTCTCTGCTCCTGGGGCTGCACTTGCCCCGGCTGGTGGCTGTTCTCTTCCCTCTTTACCTCCCCCCCACCCCTCTCATACATGCATTTCCTTCTTTTTCACTCACCAAGTATTTGAGTGCCTACTATGAGAGAGGCACTGCTCTACGTACAAAATAAACTTGAATCCTTGCACCGAAGGGTGTACACGCTGCCTTGGGAGAGACAGACCTGCACCCAAGGACAAGCACAGTGCCCAGTGGCACTGGTGGGGTGCTGTGGGAGCCAGCAGGCAGGGGCAGGAAGGCTGAGCTCGATGGGCGGGGCGGCCGTCTGCAGGTCACGGAAGTGGGATGCCATGACCTCTCTTCCAGGGCTGAGTGGGGGTTCAGTCCACAAAAGCATGTACGTAGGTTGTGCCTGGGCCACTGCACATATGAAGTCCATGTATCTGTTACCGCTGTCTTCTCATGACCAAAGACACTTCATTGACCTAACTGACGTTACACGAACGTTATTGCAGGAGCATTGCAGACTCCTTCAAACTTCAGCCTGTGTTTTTGTTTTCAAATATTTTTATTCATTTTTGGAGATGGAAGAAGGGAGAGGGAGTGAGGGGGAGAAACATCGATGTGAGAGCAGAACATCAATCGATTGCTTCTTGCATGCCCCCTTCCGGGGATTGAGCCTGCAACCCGGGCCTGTGCCCTGACTGGGGATCAAACTGGTGACCTTTTGGTGCATGAGACGATGCCCAACCAACTGAGTCACGCTAGCCAGGGCCTGTATTTTTATTTTTTAAATTTTTAAAAAATATTTTTAATTGATTTCAGAGAGGAAAGGAGAGAGAGAGATAGAAACATCAATGATGAGAGAGTCATTAATTGGCTGCCTCTTGCATGCCTCCACTGGGGATTGAGCTTCCAACCTGGGCATGTGCCCTGACCGGGAATTGAACTGTGACCTCTTGGTTTAGAGGTCAACCCTCAACCACTGAGCCACACCAGTCGGGCCTGCATTTTTATTTGTAAAGAACAGTCTGGCAAGTGCCTCCCCCTGTCTCGTTTTGGGTGGGCGTGTTTGTCACGTGGGTAAGAAGGCCTCCTGTTTGGAACAGGGACGTGTGGCCCTTCTCGGTGGCAGCGCCCATGCTGCGGGCGTTTCCAGGCAGGGCCTCACCCTCTGCACCTCCCCCCACAGCCTTCGACTTCTATCAGAGTCGCCGCTCTTCCCCGGCCGCCTCCTCCGGAGCGTCCCGCCTGTGGTCCAGCCCCTACGTGCCCCAGTGTGACGCGTTTGGAAACTGGGAGCCCGTGCAGTGCCACGCGGGGACCGGTGAGGGGGATGGGCCCCCGTGGGAGGCCGAGGGGCACCCCCTTTTCATTTAGTGGGAAGAGCCCCCTGGGGGCAGGTGAGCAGGACTCCCGGGCCCTCTTTCCCTCGCCTCCGGGGGACTCATCCATAAAATGGGAGCGGTGACTGCCAGCCAGAGAGCCAGGGGGTGGGGGGAGGGGTGGGGGGTGGGGGTTAGGGTGCTAAGGCCCATGTGGTGAGCGAGGTCGGGCAGAGGGACGGGTGGGGGACCTCCTGGTGCCATCAGCAGTGTATGATGGATGGTTGTTGGTGAGACACCCGCAGGCGAGCCCTGTGCGCCTCCTGAGCGTTGCCGTGGTCTCTCCTAGGGAACTGCTGGTGTGTGGATGGGAAGGGACAGTACGTGCCGGCCTCGCTGACTGCCCGCTCCTCCCAGGCCCCCCAGTGTAAGTGGAGCCCAGGGATCCCCCTGCCTGACCCCGGCGGTGGGCACTCAGGGCCCCAACCAGGGGAGCTCCGAGGGCCGGTCCCCGAAGGCAGCCAGCCCGCGTTTTCCCAAGTCCCCGCCTGCGTCTGGAAGACTCTCGCAGGCCTCAGCGCTGCCTAGTTTCCCAGATGGAGAGGGGCAGGGAGAGGCCGGGGGCCCTGGGCTCCCCCACACCCGCCCTGTGCAGCTTCACCCACTCCCATGGTTTCAACAGCCACCTCCTGTCTGTTCTGCAGCCCAGCCTCTCCCCAGTTTCTGACCCGGGAAGTCAGCTGCCCACTTTCCACCTCCATGATGCTGCCTCCCGCCTGGGCCTTTGTCCCTGAGCCCCAGCCTGCTCCTCGGCCGAGACTCCAGCTCTCTGTGCTGGCCTCCATCCCCCAGACCCTGGCCCTGACATCGGGCCGGCCTGGGCTCTCCGCTCGCTCTCCTTGGGCCCACGCAGCCTGTAAAGAGCCTTTCTCTCCCCACAGGCCCCTCCGCCTGTGAGAGAGCGCGAGCCAGCGGGCTGCTCTCCAGCTGGAAACAGGCCGGGTCCCAGGGAGACCCTTCCCCCGACGACCTCTTCATCCCAACCTGCCTGGAGGTGAGGCTCCGAGGGCTGGGAGGCCGAGGAGGAGCAGGCCTTCTCCGCAGGCCGGGGGTGGCTTTCCTAGTGTTCAGTGTATTTGTGTGTGTGTTTTTAATGTTGTTTTTTAAAATTGATTTTTAGAGAGAGAGGGAGAGAGATAGAGAGACAAAAACATCAATGATGAGAGGGAATCATTGATCGGCTGCCTCCTGCATGCCCCCTACTGGGGATCGAGCCCACAACCTGGGCATGTGCCCTGACCGGGAATCGGACCTTGATCCCTTAATTCCTGGGTTGACGCTCAACAACTGAGCCACATCAGCCAGGAAATACATTTAATTTTGTTTAAAACTGTAGGGAATTCTAGATCTGCATTGTCGCTAGAGTCCTGGCCGAGTCTGGCTGGGTGACCTTGGGCCATTTACTCACCTTCTCTAGGCCGTAGTTTTGTTTTGTTTTTTTATCATAGGACCGGACCACGTTTTAATCCTACCCAGTGCTAGGCTGTTTTGAGGGCCCAAGGAAATATCACTCATGAAAACTCTGAAAATCGTTTACACGTGTCTATGCTTTTCCTACAGTCACCTGGGCAAAGTCGTTTTGCAAAGTCGTGTGTCTTAGTTTCTCAACACACATGGAAGATGTCACATCGTCCTCCCAGCTCCAGGGGGTTATACTAGATCTAATAGTTGGGTGCAGTGGCCAATTTTAGGAATAAGAGCTCTTAGAGAAAGGATTCACGCTAGGATCGCAGCCACTCACGTGCCAAGGGATGAAGGCCCCGGGCCTCGGTTCCCTGTCCCCAAAGGGGGTCTGATAGGAACACAACCGGCCGCTCTTCCCGCTCCGGCTTCACGAAGATCAGATGAGATCCCGAGACTGGATTCCTGTGGCCTTGGCCTCGTGGGTGGTTCTGACTGTCAGTTCAGATGGTGTGAGGGACGGGTCTGGATCAGGGAGCCGCCCAGGCCACCTCCCTCCACGCGGAGAGGCCAGCGCTGGTGGTTTGGGAGGGACATTCCTGACGTCCACTCACTGACCTGTGGGCCTCAACAGCATCTTCCCTGGGCTGACATGACCTCGGCTTTGTCCCAGACAGGAGAGTTTGCCAGGCTGCAGGGGACGGAGGCTGGCACCTGGTGTGTGGACCAGGCCTCAGGGGAGGGCACCCCGCCCCGCACGAACAGCAGTGCCCAGTGTGAGTAGTCACCCCTTGCCCTTTCCCCCAACCCCTCCCCATGCACCCTGGGTTTGTGTGTGTGTCTGTGTGTGTGTGTGTGTGTGGGGGGTGAGTATGTGTGTGAGTGTATGAGAGTGTGTCTGAGTGTGAGTAAGTGTGTCTGTGTGAGTGTGTGAGTATGTGAGTGAGTGTGTGTGAGTGAATTGTGTGTGTGAGTGTATATGTGTGAGTGTGGTGTGTATATGTGTGTGTGTGTGTGTGTGTGTGTGTGTGTACAGAGCTGAGCAAGGCTCAGCCTTTGCCCTTCCCTAGCCTAATACCCAGTGGGAGGCGGGTGGCTCAGACCCTGGTGGGGCCTGCAGGCCGGTGGTGATGGGTGGCGCCTGTGGGTGGCGAGGGCTGTGGGCTCTGTGGAAAGCCTCACCCGGCTGGTGTCTGTGTCAGGCCCGGGCCTCTGTGAAGCACCCCAGGGCGGCATCCTCTCCGGGACGGCCGGCCCAGGCTACACCCCGGCCTGCGGGGCCGAGGACGGAGGCCGATCCTCAGTGCAGTGCAGCCCGGCCCAGGAAAGCTGCTGGTGCGTCCTGGGCAGCGGAGAGGAGGTGCCCGGGACCCGTGTGGTCGGGAGCCAGCCGGCCTGCGAGAGTAAGATGTGCCCTCGGGGCCCCTGGCTGGGGGCGGGGGGCTGCCCCTCTGTTCCCTCACCCGGGGGTGGGGGGGTCTAAAGGACCAGGACAGTGGGGGAGGGACCGGAGGGCCTGAGGACTTGGTGGCCACGGATTCCCGAGAGCTGGAAACGGGTGTCTCCTCCCTGCCAACGTGCAGCCTGGCGCTGAGGTCAGGCAGCGTGTGCAGCGTCTCTGGCACCAGAAGCCCGCGGGCTGCGGGGCGTCCGGGTCCCCGTCTCCCATCCTGGGGGGAGGCTGGGGGCAGTTGCCCGTGGGGATGAGTCCATCCAGCCGGAGCCGCAGGGTCCCTGCAGGTGTTGGCTTGCTTATTCTTATTTCTAGTTTTGAACGTTGTTTGGACATCGAATATTGAAATATATATCTTACGAATATATATCAGAATTATCAGATGACTAGAGATAATTGAATGATCAATGGCTTACCTTTTATTTGTGGAGCCGCCTCATTAACAAGAGCCCCCCAGGGCTCCTCCTGCTGACCTCCTGCCGACTGTGGTGGAGAAAGCGCAGACATGGCGGCCAGACAGGCAGGCAGACTTGACTGGCAGCTCTCCATGTCCTTGCTGGGTGGCCTCGGGCGTGGCCCTCGACCTCTCTGGCTCTCAGTCTGTGGTCTGGTCTTTCCTCCTGGGGCTCGATGCAGCTGGTGATTGGACTCTTGGCTAATTGATAACACACAGGGCTGCACCAGTGGGCCGAGAGCTTGGGGACAGGAGACCTAAGAAGGCCTGGGAGAGCCATGGAAGGTGCTGGAAAGCTAGAGGAGCTGGGCTGATCATTGAGGGTCCAAAAGGGATCTTCTAGGCAGATAAGCAGACGGAGGGAAGGGCATGTCCAGGGAAAGGCGGCCCTGCCTGGAGGCAGAGGGGCGGAGCGCGTGAGAGCCGAGAGAGGCCCCGGTCAGCGGGCACCCAGGGGGCTGAGCGTGCGTGTCCAGCTTCACCGCAGCTTCTTGGCCGGCGGTGGGGACCAGACTGGATGTATGAGCGGAGACTAGGGCCGAGGCCCCGGGCAGGGCACCTGGTGAGGAGGCTTCCCTCGCAGTTCAAGGAAAAGACGGGGGAGGGCAGTGGGCATGCAGAGAAGGCAAGGAGGCCTGAGCCGCGGCCTCCGCTGGCGCCAGGGCAGAGGAGGTGGGGCCGACCGGGATGCCCGCCTGGGACAGCTGGGGGAAGAGGTGCCACGCATTGAGCCCTGGGTACTGAAGCACGAACAGGCGTGGGTGGGCAGCAGGAGTTATTTATTCAGTTATTTGTTTTTAATATATCTTTATTGATTTCAGAGAGGAAGGGAGGAGGAGAGAGAGAGAGAAACATCAATGGTTTGCGAGAGTCATTGATCAGCTGCTACCCGCAGGTCCCACACTGGGGATGGAGCCGGCAACCCAGACCTATGCCCTGACCAGAATCCAACTGTGACTTCCTGGTTCATAGGCCCGTGCTCAACCACTGAGCCATCATGGCTGGGATTTTTTATTATATATGTATCTCGTTATTGATTTTAGAGAGGCAGGGAGAAGGAGAGAGAGACAGAAACATCAATGATGAGAGAATCACTGATTGGTAGCAGTGAGTTATGACGTGTTGGCTTAGAGGTGGGGAGGACCCGTGGGCGGCTGGGTTGGAGATGGAAGAAGCTGGAGGTGAAGATACAAGAGTCCTCTGTGCTCAAGCACCTGGTACAACTGAGAGACGGGCTCCTCCAAGAGGAGGGCGGGGAGGGAGGCGGCAGGACCAGGCTAGGGTCCGAGGAGCCCCACACACGCGCAGGCAGGGAAGAGGGGGAGAGAGGCAGGAGTGCCAGCTCCCTAGTGCTGGCCAGATGCCCCCAGCCGCCTCTCTCCTGCTCCCAGGCCCGCAGTGCCCGCTGCCATTCAACACGTCGGACGTGGCCGGGGGAGTGGTCCTGTGTGAGCCCGCCTCGGGCCCAGGCGGGGCCGCTGTCCAGCGGTGCCAGCTGCTGTGTCGCCGGGGCTACCTGAGCGCCTTCCCCCTGGGGCCGCTGGAGTGCAGCCTGGAGAGGAGACGCTGGCTGTCGCAGCCGCCCCAGCCCCGGGCCTGCCAGCGTGAGTGACCGCGGGGATGTCTGCCCCGTACCCCGCCCCTCACACTTTCCCTGCCCGCACGGCCTTTCCCTGTGAGCCAGGGGGCATCCGGTCCGGAGCAGGAGACGGGCCCTTGGGGCGTCTCTCGAAGGAGCCCCTGTGCTTCCCAGACCCCTCTGTGGCTTCTCTGGAGCTGTCTGCTCCCGGGAGAGCGGCCCTCACTTCAGGCCCTGCGGGGAGGTGCTGGGGGTGGGATGGGTCCAGCAGGTGGGGCTCCATGGCTGTGTTAGTTACTATGGTGGGACAAGCTCTCAGCTACTTGTCCGGCCCCCGAGTGGGACCTTCCGCACCAGCCTCTCCCCCGGGTCCCTCTACGCCTGGCAGAGCTGAGGGCCTGTGCCCTGTTTGAATATGGGCGCAGCTGCTGTCCTGCCCGCCCACTGGACCCACTTTCATGTGCACCGTCTGTGAGACGGCACCGGGCTCTGACCGCAGCAGCCTTGGCAAAGGCTGGCGTGGGTACTCAGCCAGGCAGGGCAGGGGCGGATGCTGGGGCCTGGCACGGGGTCCACCTGGGGCTGTGGAAGGGGTGTCTAGGATAGAGACCCCAAACCTCGAACTGCCATAGGCTCTGGGGGGCTGGCCGAGTGTCAATGGACAGTGTTTGTTGCAAAGCATCCTGGGATAGAGAATGCTATCCAGAAAAAGTTCAAAACGTGATGTTGACACACAAGTGGATCGCCCACCTGACTATGACAAAAGGGCCCCAGCTGAAATCCAGACCCGGCTGGCCGGGAGCGAGGGACTTGGGAGAAGGGAGAAGTGGATCTCGGACTTGGACGTGGGACGTAGGGCTGCCTTGTCCAGATGTGCAGAGTGTGCACTGAGCCACCTGAGAGCATGTGCTTTGTGCTGCGGAGTCTGCTCTCCACCGGCAAAGCCACACGGAGTTGCCCTGTTCGAATGCAAGATTGTGCCCGGGGTGGGGGGGGCTTTGCCAAGAGGCTTGCCTAGGGCCCAGGACGCAGGGCAGCCGGGCGGAGAGGCCGGGGCAGGACCGCTGGCTGGGAGGGGCTCTGGCTTCGGAGGGATCCGTCGCGCCTGGACGTGTGTGGACCGAGGAGGACAGTGCAGACGGCAGTGCCGGCCTGCTCCAGACCACAGGCGGGAGGGTTATGTTTGTAGAGGAAAAAGCTAACAAAGGCAGGAAGGGATCCCACAGGTCTGTGTGCTGCGTCTGCTGACCCGACACGTCCCCGCAGGGCCCCAGCTGTGGCAGACCCTACAGACCCGAGCCCAGTTCCAGCTCCGGCTCCCGCCGGGCAAGATGTGCAGCGCCGACTACGCGGGCCTGCTGCTGGCCTTCCAGGCCTTCGTCTCGGACGAGCTCACAGCCCGCGGCTTCTGCCAGGTCCAGGTGCGTGCCTGCCTCCCCCGCGGCGGGGCGGGGGCGGAGCTCGGGGTCCTGGGGTCCGAGAGCCTCTGGTGAACCTGAAGTGTGACACCCGATAATTTTACCCGTGGGCAGACTGAGGCTCAGGCTGAGAAAGTAAGTCGGCCAAGGCTAGATAGGTAGCGGCAGAGGCGAATCCAAACCTGTCACGTCACTGGATGAATGACCGGCGCGTAGCAGTTCCTCACCGATGACCTCTGCGCGAACCCCCATAGCCACCGTCACCTTCATCCGGGCATCGTGTGGGACATGGCACAGGGTGCATGCGTGGTGCCAGTCTGTGGCGTGGCAGGTCATGTCGATGGTGTCCTGAAGCCCAGGCTGCCCCCACAGAACTGCGCACAGGTGCCCGAGCTCCTGTCGCCTCCGGGCACCCGAGCTTTGATGGACTAACATCCCCTGGGGGTATGGAAGCTCTTGGGCTGTTACCCTTAGAAAGAGTGTGACGTGAGCTGGTGTTGAACCCTGGACCGTGCCCAGCACTGTCCTTGGGCCAACCAGGCCCCTCACCATCCATCTACCCACCCTGCCGTGCAGTCACCGATGCTCAGGTTGGGAGGAGAAGCCAGGCTGGGCCTGCTGTGGGCTCCATGAGCTGGCTCCCGCCCAGCCGGCAAAGCTCAGTGGTTGAGCCTCGTGGTTTGATTCCCCGTCAGGGCACAGGCCCAGGTTGCAGGCTTGGTCCCCAGTAGGGGGCGTGCAGGAGGCAGCCGATGAATGGTTCTCTCTCATCATTGATGTTTCTATCTCTCTCTCCCTCTCCCTTCCTCTCTAACATCAGTTAGAATATATTAAAGAAAAGAAAAGCTGGCTCCCTGCTCTGTGTTCTTGAACTGAAGGCATCTGTCTCCGTAGGTGCAGACGGTCGGGACCCCTGTTACCGTTCCTGCCTGTGACGACTCCGCGGTGCGGGTGGAGTGTCTGACCCAGGAGCGTTTGGGAGTGAATGTCACGTGGAAGTTGCGGCTCGAGGACGTCCCACCAGCCTCTCTCCCCGATCTGCGTGACATCGGTATGTTTCCCTGCCTGGCTGCCTCGGAGTAGCTATGCAGAGTCTCCGAGTCTCAGTTTCCTCATCTGTCAAATGGAGCCGGTGGAGCCGTCATCCCTTCCTGTGGGTCTCTAGTGAGATATCAGCCCGGCTCCCGGGAGGAGCTAAGTATCAAACAGTGTGTAAAAACCAATACATTTCTGATCAATGGCTTACTAGCGTTCAATAATATCACCTGGTTGTGTTTCTGTGAGCATTTTCTAATTCTCCTCTGGACTTTCTGGGCAGAGAGAGGGGATATAGGTGTGAAAAAGGGTGAGAAGGTGGGAGATGGAGCCTCTGTTGGTTTATAATTCGCGTTCTGTCCTCTCCAAATTGTGAGACATCTCAGACCACTCACTCTATGTAGACCCGTCACTGTGCTTCTAGAACAGGCAGGGACATAAGGATGGATCGTGGGGGTGGAAAGCGAGGAGAAGCAGGGGATGGTGTGACAGCCCGAGGGTCCGGACTGGCTGGACATGACCTCTGTCCTATGAGAGGAAACTTCTGGAAAAGGTGGCCAGGGTATAACCAGAAGGGAGGCGGCATCTCTGCCATTCTGCCATCCTCATGGCAACGATCCCCAGCATCATGAATTCGGGGTCCCCTTTGTCTCCCTCTGGAAGAGCCTGGATAATGGGCTGTGTTGGGAGCTGGAAAAGGTGGGGATGATCATTCCTAGCGTCAGTGAGACGACTGAGGGTTCCGGCCGCGGCTGGCTTTGCGCAGCCTGTTGGAAGCAAGTGCTCCTTGTGTGCTGGGGTCCGCCCGGCTCCAGATGGGGGCTCCTCACCGTCCAGGAAGCACTCCCGTCACCCAGAGGGGCCTCTCGGTGTGCATGGGTGGGGGGGGGGGCTCATTGCCTCCTGCAGGCTCTGCCTTCGCTGCAGTGGCCCCATCACACATTCTCTCTCCGAATCCTCACCACCTGCGAGAGAGGCGCGTCCATATTGCAGATGGGGAAACCGAGGCTCAGAGGTGGTGGCTTGCCAAACAGTGCTTATCCAGACAGTGCACCTTAGACCGGTGACCGAAGTCCCAGCATGGCAGGGAGGGGGGTCACATGGACGCCACAGGAAGGGCAGCGCCACAGACCTGGGCTGGAGGGCTCACTGGGCTTCTGACCCTGTGTGACCTTGGGCAGTCAGTCCCCCTCTCTGGGCCTGTCTCTCCTGCTTCACCGTGAAACACTGGACAGTGCCTGGGCCTCCTCTCGGCGTGGGTGTCTGGTGGCTCTGCCCCTGCACCCTCCCCGGGCCTGGCCGAGAACCGTGAGGTGACTCCCGCCCCACCCCGTGTCTTACAGAGGAAGCCTTGGCCAAGGGCCTCGCGGGGCGCTTCGTGGATCTGATCCGTAGCGGCGAGTTCCAGCTGCATCTGGATGCCAAGACGTTCCCAGCAGACACATCCCTCCGCTTCCTCCATGGGGACAGCGTGGGCACCTCGCCCAGGACCCGCTATGGGTGCTTGGAAGGATTCCACCCAGTCTCGGCCCCCAGCGACGCCAGCCAGGACCCACTGGGGTGCGGTAGGTCCACCACTCCCTGCACTGCTGCTACTGAGCTGTGCGAGGCTGCGGGAAAGGCCCCCGAGCTCGGGGAGAGTGCACGTACAGAGTGCAGAATCTTTCATTTCTTTCTTTTTAAAAAATATTTTTATTGATTTCAGAGACGAAAGGAGAGGGAGAAAGAGGTAGAAACATCAATGATGAGAGAGAATCATTGATCTGCTGCCTCCTACATACCCCACACTGGGGATTGAGCCCACAACCCAGGCATGTGCCCTGACCAGGAATCGAACTGTGACCTCCTGGTTCATAGGTCGACATACAACCACTGAGCCACACCGGCCGGGTGAATCTTTATTCAAAAGTCTTTCAGTCCCCCACTGTGTGGGGGCAGAGTCATCACCCTTTGGGTAGCAGCTGACACTAGAGGCTCAGATGACAGGCCAGAGGAAGAACACTGAGGATGGAAGTCACCCCTTCCCCTTGGACGCTGGGGTAGCGCAAGAGCAGGGGGCGTGTGAAGGGGGGTGGCTTTGTGGGGACAGTGGGGACAGTGTGCATGGCCTATGTGGCTGGAGGATGAGGTGTGTGGGGAATGCGGGACACGGGGCTGGGGAGATAGGCAGCGAGAGAGTGGGAGAGGCCTTAGGGCCCAGCAAGGGGCTTAGACCATGAACGAATTTTAAGTTGGAAAGTGGCAGGGGTAGGCCTGGCGTTGGGCGAGCTGGCTAAGGGTGAAGGCCCTTTCTGCCTCCTCACAGATACTGGTTGTCATTGTTGTGAGACTGTGGGACCTCGTGGGCATGACCAAAAGCTCGAGAAACGTGCAAACTCAATGAGGCCACCTGGTCTCATTTCATGGGGGAGGGGCGGAGGCCACGGGGCGGGGGGTGATTTTTTGCCTGCAGATAGACCTATATGAAGAGGTGGCCAAGGAATAGTCAGAGGAGCAGGGAGTTACCTGAAGGATGAATCCCCGTTGGTGCCACGGACTCAAGGGTCTTGGAGAGGACCCACCTGCCAGGGGAGGATGGCGATCCCCCGGGCACGGTCTCATTCTGACCAACACACTGGCAAGCCGTGCTTCTGACCCCTGTGTGACCTTGGGCCAGTCAGCCCTCCTCGCCGGGCCTGTTTCTCCCTCTTTACATGAAACACTGGGTAGTGCCTGGGTCACCTCCAGGCGTGACTGACACAGGATTCCTCTGGGCGGATGAGACTGTGGCCATCAGCGATGGAGAGAAAGACACGTGCTTGCCCCGAGCACAGTCCAGAGGCGCCACTACTGAGCACACATGCCCTCCAGCCCAGGGCTGTGGCACTGCCCTTCCTGCGGCCTCCATGTGGCCCCATCCCCGACCCCGTCAGTCATCAATCTAAGATTTGGGGCGGGCAGCTTGGGCTGGCGGGAAGTTTTTGTTTTCCTTTAGCCATGACTTTGGAGACCACTGGAAAAAAACAGTCCCAGCTCCAGGGTTAAAATACTAGAGATGATCAACAGGCTGACTCATAGGAGTACCGAAACCCCGTTCTCGAGCGAGGCCCTGGCTGGCTCGGGGCCGCCCGGAAAGCGCACCCTTCAGTTCCCAGGAGGCGTCTGGGTTTCTGATTGACTCAGAAACGCCGGTGGTGAGCGTGTACCAGAGATGGGAGCTGCTAGGGCAACGCTGGCTTCACTCCAGCACGTCCCGCACGCACGTCCGCGCTTGCTACTCGGTCAAAGGAAGTTGGTAGCCTTGGGAAAGGCGTTGGTTTGCAGAGAATGGGGCTCAAGTCCAAAGTCATGCAAGTATCGTGGGGAGAGGAACTTGACCCAGTCTGCCGACCCCAACGTGTGTATTCCTACACTGTGCGGGTCCAGCCTGTCCTTAACTTTGGGAACTGTTGCCATGGCGACCGATGGTTAGAACTCATCTTTCAGGTGTTTCTCTAGTATTACCTGTTCCCTTCATCACTAAGCTTGATCTCAGTAGCTGCCTTTGCTTTGTTTGGCTTCTCTCTCTCTCTCCTCATCCAAGGATATTCCATTGATTTCTAGAGAGAGTGGAAGATTCCATTGATTTCTAGAGAGAGTGGAAGAGAGAGGGAAAGACAGAGAGAAATATCGATATGAGAGAAACACATCGATTGGTTGCCCCCTGCACCAGGGCTGACCAGGGCCATGGCCGGGGAGGAGCCTGCAACCGAGGTACATGCCATTGACCGGAATCGAACCTGGAACCCTTTGGTCCGCAGACCGACACTCTATCCACTGAGCCAAATTGGCTAGGGCTGTTTGGCTTTTCTCTTTCCACTCCTTGAATAATCCATACCCATCACTGCCTCAGGATGTTTGCACTTGCCTGGAATTTATCCTCGATCTCTGCCTGGTACTTCTCATCATTGAAGCCACAAGTGTCACCTCTCAGAGGGGCCCGGCTCGCTAGCCTCCCCTCCTCCCTGCTTCGTTTCTTCCCGTCTCTGAGATTCTGGTCGGGCACGCTCTCATCTGCTAGCCTGTCGCCCCCGGGGAGCAGGCACTGTCTACCTTCCTCACAGCTCATCCTGGGCTTTCAGAGCCCAGCACACGGCGGGTCTTCAATGCACATTTGTTCCGTGAGTGATGTCTCGCGCTGACTCGGGGATTTCACATGCAGACCCTGTGCGCCGTGAGGTCGTAACTATGACGCAAGTGTCTTACCTTGACCACCACGTCCCTGTGTCTCTTTCCAGTGAAGTGTCCCGAAGGAAGCTACTCCCAGGACGAGCAGTGTGTTCCCTGTCCCGCTGGATTCTACCAGGAACAGGCCGGGAGCTTGACCTGCACCCCGTGTCCTGTGGGCAGAACCACCATTTCCGCCGGCGCGTTCAGTCGGACTCACTGTGAGTTCTAAAGGGTCTCGCTTCGACACAGAAGCCTGCAGGGTGGTGGGGACACAGTGGGTGTCTTGGCCTTGGCGCTGTGGCCGTTTGAGGCTGATACTTCTTCGTGTTGGGGGCTGTCCCATGTGTGGCAGGAGGTTTATGTCGCAGCTCACTGGCCCTTACCCATTAGATGACAGCAGCACGCCCCCCACCCCACCAAATTGTGACAACCAGACACGTCGCCAGACATTGCCAGGAACATCTTATGGGGACAAAACTGCCCACCCTTGACAACCCTTGGGTATGCAATGCAATAATCAAAGAGGCCACCATCTTTGAATGGTCGCACCCCATCGCGACCTAGGCCAGGCATCTTGCCTGTGCTGTCTCATTTAATCCTCCCAGTTCCCCTTCTAGGTCAACATTATAAGCCGAACATTTACCGATCGGAAGGTTAAGACTCAGAGAAGTCCTTTAGCCAAAGCCTGGCCTTTGATCTCGGTGATTCGGAAACTTCTGATGTTCCTGTCGGCCTTATCAGATTGGCAGGCGGAAGACGCTTTCCACCTGCAGGCATTGCCACTGTGTGGTCGTGCCCTTTCCCTTGTACGTAGGTCAGGACACTGTGTACCCATGGCCTTCCCGTAGGTCACGTGATTTCATGTGGCCCACTTAACAGTCACGTGGGCGTCGCTGGGTTTCCCCTGGCGAGGACTCATAGCCTGAAATTGTGTGAACGAGAGGCAAACCATTATTGCTTAAAATCTGAATAGTGTGCCTGGCCAGCGTGGCTCGGCAGTGGAGCATCGACCTATGACCCAGGAGGTCAGGGTTCGATTCCTGGTCAGGGCACATGCCTGGGTTGTGGGCTCCATCCCCAGTGTGGGGTGTGCAGGAGGCAGCCGATCAATGATTCTCCCTCATCATTGCTGTTTCTTTCTCTCTCTCCCTCTCTTTTTCTCTCTGAAATAATCAAAATAAAAAATCTAGTGATAGATTTTGAAAGTAATTAACCGAAAGAGATCAAGTCACCTCCTCTGATCAAGGCAGTTTCCTTGAGCAGAAGAGCAGTGGGAGTTCCAGGAGGCAGGAGGGATTCCTCGGCCGGGGCTCTGACATTCCTCTGGAGGAGAAAGTCTTCACCAGGAGGGCGGAGTCCCCGACATGGCCCTCCTTGTGCACACGTTGATGCATTCGCTGTGGTTGAGGGCGACCTCCCGTGCTGACACACCGCTGGAGGGACGCTCTCTTACAAGGGGGTCAGCGTCATGTACTGGCCCTTGTTAATGAGGGGGTGCTACCAAAATAGCAGGGGTAGGAGGGAGGGATGGGGGGAGAGAGAGTGAGAGAGAGAGAGAGAGAGAGAGAGAGAGAGAAACATGGACATGAGAGAGACACCTCAATTGGTTGCCTCCTGCACACACACAGACCAGGGGTGGGGATCCAACCTGGAACCCAGGTACGTGCCCTTGACCGAGAATCGAACCTGAGACCCTTGGGTGTACCGGCTGATGCTCTGACCCTGAGGAACATTGGCCAGGGCAGGCATATACCTATTTTTAAATTAGAAATCACAATGTCACAGTGCGGGAGACGCTGGGATGCAGCAGGGAGCAAAACCAGGTCAGGTCCCTGCCCTCTTGGAGCTTCTACCAAGTGGGAGGCAGACAGTGGTCAACCACTCATTCACATGGACAAATGGGAGCAACCATTCGTTCACATGGACCAATGGGAGGAACCATTCATTCACATGGACCAATGGGAGGAACCATTCATTCACATGGACCAATGGGAGGAACCATTCATTCACATGGACCAATGGGAGGAACCATTCATTCACATGGACCAATGGGAGGAACCACTCATTCACATGGACCAATGGGAGGAATGACCGTGCTCCATGCTGTGAGGATGGGCATTGATAGGAGGGATGTCAGGGCTAGGAGGCTGCCCCTGGAACGGGAGGGGGTAAGGATTAACTTGAAAGCCGGAAGTTTGACATGCTTGAGCTAGAGGGTGTGTGGCTCAGATGTGTGACTTGGCTGTCTGATCAATGATTGGGAGCCTGGGATCTGGGGGGAGGGGACCCCAGAGGCACGCCATCGACCGTTCAGCGTTGTGTCCATCTCTCGGTTGCAGGCGTCACCGACTGTCAGAGGAACGAGGCTGGCCTGCAGTGTGACCAGGATGGCCGGTACCGCGCCAGCCAGAGGGACAGGGACAGTGGGAAGGCCTTCTGTGTGGACGACGCAGGGCAGAGGCTGCTGTGGTCCGAAACGGAGGCCCCGCTCATAGACTCCCAGTGTCTCAGTATGTGCAACCCCTTAAACAGCGTGTTGCTGGGGAGGGGGAGCTCTCCAGGGCTTTCTAGAAGGGAGAGACATGCATTGTCTCCAACTGTTTACTGACGGAATTTTTAATCGCTGTCAAAGCTGAAAGAACAGTGGTGAAATGAACAAATGCCCCGCACTTAGATCCAACCTTCTTTTGTTCTCTTTTATCTGTAATCATTGGAAAGTAAGTTTTAGACACCAGGAAACCTCACCCCTACATGCCTGTGACTGCACGAGAAATGAATTGTAAGCATTCATCTGCGGAGGTTTCCTTTGTTTTTTTGTGGGCAGCTCGCCTCCAAAAAGCTGGTCAGCATTTCTCCCTCCGTGGGATGCTGTGGAGAAGACTTGAGGGCCAGGCCTGGTTCCCTAATTTCCTTGCTGGGTGACCCAGGGCAAGTTGCTCGATGTCTCTGATCCTCAGTCCCCAGAGTGGCCTCCTGCCTGCCTCCTGAGACACTGTGGAGGTCACGCCATCCTTTAAAGACGCAAACATTCCTCGAGCAGTCCCCTGGGCCAGGCACAGGCCCTCCATGAGATAAACTGTTGAAACTGGCCTTCAACAGTTTTCTCATCTGTAAAATGGGGGTGGTAAGGCTACCGTATGGGCAAGTTGGATGAGTTAGCGATGGTAAGGCTACCATGTGGGTGAGTTGGGTGAGTTAGCGATGGTAAGGCTACCGTGTGGGCGAGTTGGGTGTGTTAGCAATGCCGTGCCTAACACAGGTAATCAATCTCTCAGGATGATGAGCAGGCTCCGTGCTAGTTGCCTTATTTCCTCATCTGTTACCCAGGGAGCAGGTGAGACAGCCTGCATGGTCCCTTCATCCTGCCAACCTCTGTCTTCACCCTGAGCCCCACCTTTCTGGGGGCCCTTCTGCTGCTTGAGGCCATGGCTTCCCTTTGCACACCTGGGCGAAAGCCTTGGTCACCAGTCACGTAGGTTTCTGTGCAAGGAGAGGGAGGACATCCGTGCGCTCACTGTGTGCCAGCTCCCGTGCAGGTATGACCTAGGCCAGTGGTCGGCAAACTGCGGCTCGGCAAATCGAGGCTCGTGAGCCACATGCGGCTCTTTGGCCCCTTCAGTATGGCTCTTCCACAAAATACCAGCTCTTCCACAAAATACCGACTTCTGCGCATGGGCCACGAAGTTTCAATCGCACTGTACGTGCACGCCCGCACGTGGTATTTTGTGGAAGAGCCACACTGAAGGGGCCAAAGAGCCGCATGTGGCTCGCGAGCCGTGGTTTGCTGACCACAGACCTAGGCCATCACGTGGAAACTTCCTGGGGGTTGGGCAAGGGGTTGACATGGTGCCCCCAGTCATTTAGTTGAAGAAAGTGAGGCAAAGAGCATTTCAGTGATGTCTCTTCAGCACATTGAACTGGTGTGTGTCTCACTCTCAAACCCATTCTTTCCGTTACACAGTCTGCTTCTACCTGATTGCTCTGCCTCCGTATTAAACACGCCCACATATGCACACGCACACACAGCACATGCAGGCACGCGCGCTTGCACACATAGCCAGCCAGCTCTCCAGCAAAGCTGCTGCAGCTGATAGCAAAAAACACCTGGGAAAACTCAAGCGCAAAAATCTCATTTTCTAAGGCTCAGAACAATCATTCCTTCTCCAGCAACGCCCCGCTGAGTCCCAGGAGCTGTGCGCAGTGGCCCTGAGGCTACATGGCGAATCCAAGGAAAGTCATTGTTTTCCATGATCCTGGGAGGCTTAAGCGATCAGGGGGGCGGGTCCTTGGTGGGTCCTTGCCGTCCTGCACACTCGGGTCCTGGGGGTTCCTGGCCACTCGGGGACGCTCACCTCAGGGCTTGCATCTGACCCGCAGCCCGCTTTGCCTCCCTGTCCGCAGATCGCAACATGCACTTTGTAAAACGCCTCTTGTTTGTTCTGCCCTGTGTTCCTCGGGGGCAGGAAGGGCAGCTTGGTAAGTGGCCTGGCAGCCGCGATCAAGAGCACCTTAGCTTCGCCAAGTTCAATGCCGCGTCCCGGCTTAGGATGAGCCTCCAGGCTGATCCCCTGGTCGCGTCGTGGTTCAGCAGGCCGAGCTCGGAGCTTAGGTGTCCCCTCCGATCTGCAGGGGGTTTCCGTGTTCAGGAGCTGCCCCGCTGGGATATCCGCATGCCTTTCCCACAATCCCCTTCACTTGCCTTCAGGGGAGCTTTCTCTTTGGAAGGGAAACCGCAGTCTCATTTTTGAGGCTCTTGTCCTCTTGAACAAGCAAAGGGCATGGAGTCTAGTGGCATCACTTCCCAAGCAGGTGCTCGCCCGCTCTCCGCCCACCCCACGTCCACGGCCTGCACTGCAGGCCTGGTTTTCTTGGGAAACTGTTGTAGAGTGAGGCTCGCTCCTGGCGAGTCACCACATGATTTTTCACTTGGTGAGGACCGAGCTCCGAGGCTCGTAGCTTTCTCCTCCCTCGTTGGGTCCCTGGAGCGCAGACCCGAGCCCAGGTGTGTGGCGGCAGCTAGAAATGCGGGTGTGATGCGCCTTTAAACAAACACGGTCGGGAAGGCCTGAGCCACGTGCCACGCTTTCAGATTGACATGAGCCCATGGGCACATGTGCCCATCGTCTTTCAAAAACCACCTGCCTCTCTCCGGGAAGAAGTGAAGTTGTGTTACGGAAAGAAAACGTCCAGCCCAGGAATTATAAGATTAGCCTCAAAGGGAAAGGCAGGGAATACCGCTGAGAGACTCTCTGCCAATGAGAAAAAACTGAGTTGTAAGGACGAACATCAACTACATTCTCTAACTTTCCTCCTTGCTTCCCGGCAATGCGGTGGGAAATGAGACCTAAGTTGGAGCGCTCAGTGTTACGGGGGAGGCAGCGCTGGGGCCACCTCAGAGGGAGCCCTCTCCTTGGGGCCTGCGCGTGGCCCCGGGCCGGGGAGAAAGGTGACTGCTGGCCCAGCGCTCTTTTGGCTTCCACCCTTCAGAGTCCGATTTCATACATTTCGAATTTCCTTTCAGTGATGCAGAAATTTGAGAAGGTTCCGGAATCGAAGGTGGTCTTCGACGCCGAGGTTGCCGCGGGAGTCAGGTCCCAAGTTCCTGGCTCTGAGTTCCCCCTGGCGCAGTGCCTGGCAGGTGAGGGGTGGGCACGTGGGCACCAGGAGAATGGTGTGCAAACCTGCTCTGCCGATCTCGCAAGACAAACCGCTAAAACGAGCGTGAAAACATACACTTTAGCCCAAACACTTTGGAGTCCGTTGATCCGCCCAGGGTGCGTTTAGCTTATCATTTCCCTGAAGAGTGTATAGGGCATCTACTATGTGCCAAGCACAGTGGGATGCCAAAGGTTAGGGGGCAGAAATGAAGGGCACTAGCTCCTTATAGAACTATGTGTCCAGGTTGGGTGACACATTCGTCTATTTTATTTTATTTATTTTGAAAATATAATTTTGTTGATTTCAGAGAGGAAGGGAGAGGGCCAGAGAGATAGAAACATTGATGAGAGAGGAACATCATTGATTGGCTGCCTCCCGCACACCCCACACTGGGCATTAAGCCCATAACCCGGGCATGTGCCCTGCCCGGGAATCGAACCGTGACCTCCTGGTTCATAGATTGACATTCAACCACTGAGCCACGCTGGCTTGGCCACATTTGTCTATTTTAACAGCGAGGCCAGAGAGGGGTAATAACAGCCACCATTTATTTATTGGGCATGGGTCTGTATAAGGATTATTCCATAATCCTGCCAGCATCCGTGAGCAGTCATTGTTGCCCGATGCTGCAGGTGCGTGTGAGTGTGTGTGTGTGTGTTTGGGTGTGCTGGGGGCAGGGTGTCCGTCTGCCTTCAGCAGCACCTGGGAGGGACATGCGCTGACGCCCATGGTGCTTGCAGGCTGTGCCGTGGATCCAGCCTGCAGCTTCCTCACAGTGTCCACGGTGGGGTCAGACGTCTCCTGTGACTTCTATGCTTGGACAAGTGACAGCATCGCCTGCACAGCTTCTGGTCAGGTGAGTCCCGGCCGCCACGTGGCCTCTCAGCCTCTCGTCCATCTGTCCATCAGACACACCTGGTAGAATCCATACGGGGCTGATTAGGTGATGCGATGACAGTGTCCACGGCCGATCCCTTGTTCCTCCGTCTCTTCAGAGTGATGAGACGTTGGGAAATGGAGGCGGCATAGACCTGCTTCTGATGGAGCTGCCACAAAGGGTGTTCCTCTGAGCAGCATCGTGTCCTGACCCAAGAGGCAGAAGAGAATGTTGGTGCCAAGCCCCCTCCTGTTCCCCACCAGCTTACTCACCGGGCAGGCTGGGCACGGCATGCCCCTGGCCCTTGTCCAGAACCCTCCGTCCCTCGGAGTCCTGGACCCTGGCATTCCTTTCCATTGGGAAAGTAAAGCGTGACTGTGGCTTACAAAGAGGAAAGTTAAATCTTAGCTAGACCCCGTGAAACGGCTGTTTCTGTAGGCGAGAGCTGGTGGAGTGTTGGCAATGCCACTGTTACCATGGGTGAGGGCAGAAGGGTGTGCAGGGGAGCCCCTCTCTGTCTCCTAACCGCTCCTGCCTCCTCACACAGAGACCTGCATTCCCTCTCCAGCTCCTGTGGACCCGGCCAGAAATTTCCCGTGTTTATAAGCATCTTTGTTTGTTTACATGCTAACATGTAATACATATTTTTCTCCCCTGTACTTTAATAATTAACCTTGTTCTTTTTAAAATAAATCTATTTTTATTGATTTCTGAGAGGAAGAAAGAGGGGGAAAGAGGGAGAGAGAGTAGAAACATCAATGATGAGAGAGAATCATTGATCGGCTGCCTCCTGCACACCCCCCACTGGAGACTGAGCTTAAAACTAGGGCATGTGCCCTGACCGGGAATCAAACTGTGACCTCCTGGCTCATAGATCGATGCTGAACCATTGAGCCTCGCTGGCCAGGCAACCTTGTTCCTTTAATGGCGCACACCAGCCCATCCTGTGGATGTTCACGCTTTACCTTGCATTGGTTGAGGACATTGGTTAGCAGTTCTGCCACGTCACCTGCAGTGGGCCATCGCCTGCCCTGTGTCCCTGCCTCTTGCTCCCATGGGAGTGTGTGTCCATGAGTGACAGCTGGAGGCACATGGAGGGGGCCCCCCTGAGTGTTAGCTCTTTCCAGCTCCCCAGTCTCAACAGAACCACCTGTCTCTCCCCTGGGACTCCCCTGGAATGACATGTGTCTGTAGCTGGCACTGGGGGTGCAGCTGACTGCTCACCTGTCTGTGTGCGCCAATAGACTGGGAGGACAGAACGAAGAACGTGGAAATGTAGCCCGGTGGGTGCCTCACTGTGGTTAGGCTCTGATAACTGTCTGTGGACTGGCTGTCACGGGACGATAATGCAGCCTCTTTCATCTCCAGGGTCAAGGCGCGGCGGGGAACGCCAAGGCCACCGGCTTTGGAAGTCTCAGGTGCCAGGTGAAGGTGCCGCCCAGGGACCAGGGCTCTGTGGCTGTGTATCTGAAGAAGGGTGAGTGAGGCCAGACGGGTGGCCCCAGACTGCTTTCCAGCAGGCGCGTTCAGGGGCCAGACTGCCCCCATATTCCGTGCAGGAGCCCCACTCCCTCCCTCGCTCCTTTGCTTCTCGGGCAGACGTGTCATAGCTGAGCATCTCAGACAGGCACCTGCTGAGGACTTGCCATGCCATTTGCTTTCTCACCCTCACCTGAGGGCATTTTCTCCATTGATTTTTAGAGAGAGTGGAAGGGAGAGGAAGAGACAGAGAGAAACACCAATGTGAGAGAGACACATTGATTGGTTGCCTCCCACATGCCCCTGACCAGGGCCAGGAGCCTGCAACCGAGCTATGTGCCCTTGACCGGAATCGAACCCAGGACCCTTCAGTCCACAGACCGACACTCTACCCACTAAGCCAAACAGGCTCGGGAGACATGTCGTTTTCATTCACACCCTCATGTCTGGTCCTCAGCAAAGGCCTGCGGGGACTGGGAGGGTCATTCCCCGGGTGAGAAACTGAAGCGCAGAGCAGACGCAAAGGCTGTGGGCAGAACCCACGGAGTCCAGACTGTGTGCCCCACCCAGCCCCCGAGGCTGCCTGTGATGTGGGGGCACCTGGGCTGCGGGCTCCTGCAGCTGCCTGTCCTGGGCCTTCCCACCCACGGAGCTTCACTCACCCCCCATCACTCCCCCCAGACCACCCCCTCCACCTCGTCCCTTTCATCTCTGCCCTCCTGGGATGTCATCATCCCACTGGCTGGGGACCAGAAGACAGCCACGGGGACCTGAGCAGGGACGGGTGGGATGAAGAGTGGCAGGCGTGCTATACTCATAGGTCCGTACGCAGGGCAGGTGGCCTGGCTCCCAGCTTCAGACCTGGGCTGCAGACAGCTTGCAGCATGTGGGGACGGGCCACGCCCGGGCCCAGAGCCTCGTCTGACCTCGGTCCTCAGCAGGGACAGCGTCGGTGTCTCCTGTCTCCAGTCCTTCTCCCACCGCTGCCTCCGTCCTGCTCGATGAGGCTCCCTGGGGGCCTGGCGCCCCGAGAGCCCGGGCTTCTCTGATCCACCGCCAGGGTTACCGGACTTTCTGCCCAGTGTTTATCCCAATTATATTCACTGTTCATCTTAAAAATAGCAAAGCGGGGAGGTTATTTGCTAAAAAGAAAATAAACAAATACGACAAGTAGCCCCTCCCAAAAAGTCAATTTAAAACTATTCCGTGGCCTTGTATATAGTTTTTAAAAATGCAGTTCTATTTCTTGTTAAGTGTTGGCTATATTTTTTCTCCTCCTCCTCTCCTGAAAGTTTAGACTTTGGGGGAAATTGCAAGGGAAATTGTGGCGTTTCCTTGCTGCCAAACCAATCAAGGGCAGACTCCTTTTTTTTTTGTCTTGTTTGACTTTTTAAGACATTTTTATTTTTAAGCAGCAAATGCAGACAGCCAGCCCTGCTGGGTGGCGGGTAGTGGGAGAGGGGGGAGGCCGGTAACCGGGGCCTGGCTGCAGAGCCCTGCTCTGGTCAGGAAGGGCCTTGCACCTCCACCTTCTGTAAAAGGGGAAGGGACTGTCCCAGCCGAGGGAGAGCACGCATTTCGGAGCGTCTCTGCACAGTCTGTGGCACCGACGAGGCAGACAAGCACACCCACTCGCACGCCTGAGCGTGTGTGACCTGGAAGAGGGACAGCCTGACGGTGGTTCGGTGGTTCGGAACCACCCTCTGTCTACACCCACCTTACGTCTGCAGCCTTGAGCCTGGAGGAGAGGCTGTGGGGTTTTTCAGAATCAGAAGACGGTGCTCAAAGGTTCCCTGGAGACTGTATGGCCCAAGCCCCCCATTCACGGTTGAGGTCAAGAAAGAGGAAGCATCCAGTGGAACCCGAGACCTCAGGGCATGATCTTCCCATCTCTTAAAGGCCCCCCACACCTGCTCCATTGTCTGGGACGGGACCATCGTGGGGTCCCCTCTGCACTGGCGCGTCCCAGGAGGACTCACTGAGCACCCACAGCAGGATACCCACTTGGCAGGCACTGTGGGTGCAGCTGTAAACAACACAGACGAAATGGCTGGTTGATAAAGAGATTGATCCAGATGCCCTAGCTGGTTTGGCTCAGTGGATAGAGCGTTGGCCTGGGGACTGAAGGGTCCCAGGTTCCATTTCGGTCAAGGGCACATGCCCTGGTTGCAGACTCGATCCCCAGTGTGGGACATGCAGGAGGCAGCTGATCAATGATTCTCCCTCATAATTGATGTTTCTATCTTTCTCTCCCTCTCCCTTCCTCTCTGAAATCAATAATAAAAATATATTTTAAGAAATAATAGCAGGCCTAGCTGACTTGGCTCAGTGGATAGAGCATCAGCGCGCAGACTGAAGGGTCCTGGGTTCAATTTTGGTCAACAGCATGTGCCTCAGTTGCAGGCTCTATCCCTAGCCTTGGTTGGGGCACATGCAGGAGACAAGCAATCAATGTCTCTCTCTCTCTGTCTCTCCCCTCCCTTCCACTCTCTACGAATCAATGGAAAAATATCCTCAGGTGAGGATTAACAATAATAACAAACAAACAAAAAATGATAAGCAAAGGTCAGCTCTCCACACACCGCCGTTAGACCCACAAGGCGTCATGGTGTTTGTCCTGGTCTGTGGGCTCCACGGCCCACCTCCCTGCACAGGCACATCTGAACTGTCATGGCACAGAGAGGATCAGACCACATGCTGCCACTATCGGCCATTGAACCCTGGTCAACTCTGCATTGTTTTAAACATTAAAAAAAAATGTTCCGCCTTTTCCCTAGGCCAAGAATTCAGCACGAGAAGTCGGAAAAGCTTTGAACGAACCGGTTTCCAAAACTCGCTCTCGGGGATGTACAGCCCCGCCGTGTTCGAGGGCCCGGGGGCCAGTCTGACGGAGGCGCACCTCTTCTGCCTCCGTGCGTGTGACCGGGACGCGTGCTGCGATGGCTTCATCCTCACGCAGGTCCAAGGAGGTAATACTGATGACCACCATGGTCTCCAGAGGATGGGGAGTGCGTGGGGTCAACAGCCTCGACAGGGAGGGATAGTATTCACCCTAAACGGCTGCTTCTGCATCAATCCCATCTCCAGGAAGAGCCGAGAACCTGAGAGTTGTACTGAATTCCTCGCCAACCGCCCTTCCCTCCTTCGTCACTCCCACTTCTTGCTGCTGCTTTCTTACTGTATTTGGCAAGGAGACTAATTCCATCCTCACCTCTGCTGTCCATCATCGGACTGTATTCGTTTTGTTTTGTTTTTTTGCCAGTTGTGCCAATCTCCTCACTGCTCTCTCACCCCAACCCCTGTGCTCCCTCAAAATCAGTCTGTACAGCTCTCAGCCCTACTCAGGCTTTCTCCTCCTGAAATGTGAGCTTGTCTCTTGTTTTTGCATCCAAGCTCGCATGTGCATGTCTTTGGTGGATTAAAACGTTGACACGATGAGATAGCCTTATATCCTCGACCCCTGGGAGGGGACTGAAAATGCTGAGTTTAGCTCCCAGCAACCAGTAGTGGCTCAAAGGAGAATGTGTTGCTGGAGTGGCAGGGCGGGAATCTGGCTCGGAGTAAGTGCAACCCTAAAGTTCCTTTAGGTGCAATGCTCTGTGGTTATATGATGTGCATTCATGTTAGTGTTTAGATAAGCAAAAGATAAATAGATAAATGATAGATGATAGATAGATGATAGATTGATAGATACATAGACAAATAGATGATAGATGATAACAGACACAAGATAAATAGGTAGATGCACACATGTGCACATGATCACACACATGTATATAGCATGTCTTTATGGGCACATATTTAGAGACACTGCATTCCAAGCTGGGAAGCCCCCTGCCTTCTCTGGCCTGCATGTCTTTTCTGAGGACACCACTCCCCAGACTCGGTTGCTCACCAGACCGTGTGATTTCCAGCTGGAAAGGCTGACTTCACTTTCCGGAGAAGCCCATGTGGAGGAGTGATTTGTTCCAGGAGCAGGGAGCACACAAACCCTTTTCCATGTGCTCTGGCCGGCGGCCTGCTTGCTGCTCCCGCCCAGTGTCACCTGGGATCTGTGACTTGTGGGGAAGCTATGCTCTCTTGGAGACAGACACGAAACCCAGGCCGATGGCTTCCCAGTCTCGTCCAGCGGCCAGATGTGGGGCTGTGACTGTAAAGCGTTGGCTGGACCCGCCGATGGCCAGGAACAGAACCCGATCCGTCCTTGCCCCGCAGTCTGCAAAGTCACTTAACTTGTGGGTGGATCCCCTCCAGCCCAGCGACACTGCAGCCTCCTCCCACCTCCAACCCTCAATGGCTTCATTTCCACTGATCGTTACTAATGAAAATTCACGATGCTTCCAGACCTGCATTGCAGCAAGGCTACTTGGGGGTGGGGTTCAGAGGGACTCCGAGGCCCCTGGTTCACGTGAGCGCAATGGAAACTGGCAATATGCTCAGCAAGGTGACCTCTGACCTCTGGCCCCACCTCTCAGACACTTGGAGCTCTCATTGATACGCTAACAGAGGTGGGGAACCTTTTTTCTGCCAAATGCCACTTGGATATTTATAATATCATTCATGGGCCATACAAAATTATCACCTTAACAATTAGCCTGCTGTATTGGGCCAAATGTTTTTTAAAAATATTTTTATTGATTTCAGAGAAGAAGGGAGAGGGAGAGAGATATAGAAACATCAATGATGAGAGAGAGAATCATTGATTGGCTGCCTCCTGCACGCTCCACACTGGGGATGGAGCCCGCAATCCGGGCCTGTGCCCTGACCAGGAGTTGAACCGCAAACTCCTGGTTCACAGGTCGATGCTCAACCACTGAGCGCCGGCCGGGTTGGACCAAACATTTAATTAACTCACCCTTAATGCCTCGGCAGGTCCAGACCAAATGATATCTCGGGCCTCATATGGCCCGCGAGCCGGACGTTCCCCACCCCTGGGAGTCTGGCACCTAGAGGAGCAAGTGGCCTGAGAGCAGAAGGAAAGACGCACCTGCCCCCTCTTGATTCCTTGTCTGTTGTTTGACTGGTGAGAGGGACAGTGAGGCGGGAAGACGTCCTCCAAGCTCTCAGCAGGCTCTTCCTGCCCAGCTCTTGGGAATGTGCCAGTAAAGACAATGGCACGGCCATCAGGGAAGAGTAACCCAATTTAATACCAGGCTCCTGAGTGCCAGCTCCCTGTCCGCCTGCGGAATTGTCCCCTGGCCTCTCCTGAGGCCTCTCGGGCACAGAGGCCAGGCCAGTCTCTAAAGGGGCCCCTTCCCATCACACCAACCGCTCTCCTCTCCTGACCCCACAGGTCCCATCGTCTGTGGCCTGCTGAGCTCCCCCGACATCCTGCTCTGCCATGTCCAAGACTGGAGGGACCCCTCCACAGCCACGGCGAATGCTACATGTCCCGGGGCGACAGCCGGCCAGGGCAGCCGCCTGGGGACACTGCTCCTGGGCGGCCAGGAGTTCCAGGGTGAGTTGCCTCCTGCCCACGTTCCTTCAGGACTAGAGTCCTCCCCAGCAAGGTTTGCTGCTGCTCTTGTAGGAGCCCCTCCAGACCCCAAGGAATTCGTGCTTCTGCTAAGGAACTGTACCCGAAATGCTGCATAGACACACGCAGGGCCTGGCGGCCGCTTTTCACAGAAGCGGTGATGCAGCTCTTCAGGCTGCTGGTTGGCGGAGCGAGGCAGGCTCAGCGAGCGGCTCTGCGGGTCTCAGCCGGGCTCACTCGGCATCCGGGGTCCGTGGCAGTTGGCTGGTCTGGTCGTGGTTGGGGTGGCCTGGCCCTGCTTGGCGGCTCCCTCGTCCCTCTCCTGTAGACGGCAGGAACGGGAGGACCAGGAAACACATGCTGGGTCTCCAGAAGTTGAGGCTTGGATCTGACAGTCGCCTCTGAGAGCACATGGCTGACGGGAGTCCAGGCGTGGGAAGACCCACATGGCCTCTGGTGGCCGGAACCTCACAGTCTGGGCGGAAGGGGTGACTGCGGAGGGGTGAAGCCCTGCAGGAAAAATGCCATCTGTCCCCATTCTACAGCTGAAGAAACTGAGGCGCACAGATGTGAGGGCTTCCCAAGGCCTCGGGGCTTGTAGACAGAGGGCTGGGATCTGAATTAGCCCTTGAAGGCCATATGGAGTGTTTGACACACGGTAATGATATTAGGGGATGTGAGAACCCTTCTAAAACCCTGCCATTGTTTTCTGGGATGTTTTAAGAGCTGGATTGTGTCTTATTCATTTTTGGTTTTACACCGTCGAGCGTACAACCCGGCCCAGCATATCCGTGGGGTGCGCCTTTCCCAAAGCCTGGAGGAAAGATCCCCGAGTTGGGCGGAATTCCACGACGCTTAGTTTCTTCTGGGGGCGAATAAAACCCAGCAGCTCATTTATGTGACGGATCCTAGGCATATGGTATCGATTATTCCGTGAGGCAGCCCAGGATGGAAAGGAGCATTTGAAGAGAGACGTGGGATACATTCATGGGCAGTAAATCCACAGTGAATTGCTTAACACGGAGCATGTGCTCAGTATGAGCCCAGAAGCGAAGAATGTGCCCTTGTCTGGCCTCCTGGGGGGGACTGGCTACCCAAGGACTTTTGGAGTCTGGGGTTGTGGAGTTGGTGTTTGTGCATATTTGGGGTGCAGTCAGAACTTTGAGAAGATGTCCTTTGATGGGGATCTCAGGCAGCCTGAGGCATAGTCATGATGTTCCAAACTGGAGGTTGGAGCTACCAGCATAGTCTACTTCAAGATTTAAAGGGCTGCCCATCTGGTGAGGCTCAGTGGTTGAGTGTTGACCCATGAACCAGGAGGTCAAGGTTCAATTCCCGGTTGAGGCACATGCCTGGGTTTGCAGGGCTTAAACCCTGAGAGGCCTGTAGGGCACAGTTGATGGATGATTCTCTCTCATCACTGATGTTTCTCTCTCTCCCTCTCCCGTCCTCTCTCTAAAGTCAATGAAAACATATTTAAAAGAAAAGACTTAAAGGACTGCGGGGAGAAGGGGACAAATGGTCCAGGAAAACGAGGGGGGGGGGCGGGGGTTGGGTGTGAGTTGCAGAGATGGGCTGGGAGGTGTGTGAACAGCCATGAGGAGGGAGTTGTGGGGCCCATGCACCCACCATTTCTGTTTAAGCTTTGTGCCTGGGTTGACCTGGGCCTCAGGTAGGAACCCTCGCAGGGTCTGCATCTCCTCAGTTTCCAGGGGGCATGTCTGGATGTTTTCAACTATCAGGTGTTGGCGGCCTTGATCTTCCTATTTCCAAGAAAGATGGCTTAGAAAGCTCTGGGACGGCATATGTCTCACTTCTGACAAAGGCCTGGAGTGTAAAGGAATGAAAAACAGGCCGAGGCAAAGTCCGCTACTGCCCACAGCGACTGGAAGCTCGATGGGAAAGACGCCTTGGCAGCAGCGCTCCAGGTTCGCTGGGGATTTCAAAGGCTTCCTGTGGTTGAGCGATGGCGAGCCTCGGGCAGATGGCTGGTGTTCCCGCACAGGGTCTGCTTGTCATTATCTCGGGCGCTGGGAGCTCGGTGGAGAGACTTACAATCGTCCCCGATCATTGTCACCAGATGCCCCCGGAGCAGATGTCGGATGGGTGCCTACAAACAGGATGCCCCCGTTGGCTCTTTACAGTGTCGTTGATTGCGTGCCACCGTGTGCTTAGCACTAAGTGGACTCAGGACAAGGCTGATCTGGGAAGGTCAAGAAATACAAGAGAGACCTGGGGAAGTGCTGCAGGGAGGAGAAGGCAGCCGGGGAAAGGGGCACTCTGAGCTTTGGGGAGTCTGGCCTGGAGTCCTGCCCAGCCTGGGACTGTGGATTCCATAGCCACGCAGATGCAGCACGTGACCTCCACAGAGGGCAATTAGGACCACGCAGCCCCCATCAACCCTCAGGAGCCAGGCTCCATGCCAAACCCCAAAGCCCTAAACATATCCGGGAGCCTGCAGCCCCGACTACGGAGCCAGTGCTGATGACTCAGAGTCGGCAGGCCTGTCTGTGGGACAGGGACGCCCTAAACCAGCCGTCGTGGAAAGAATGCAAGGATGTCTGGACAGGCAAAGCCGTCCACCTGAAGGATTGCTCAGCAGGGGGCATGGGGTGATGGTTGCTTGGGTCCTGGGTGCCCTCTCACGATCAGTGACATCAAACCAGGGACGTGTGGGGCATGGAGGGAAGGTCTTCATTCAGGAAACGAATTTGGTGGTGGATGGACTTGGGCCCTGCGTTTACTCAGTGGCTCCAAGTGTCATTGACGGCCTCGTTGTCCTCATTCGTCCCTCCTCGCCGGCATCTGTGTACTGTACACCAGTTCTCCACAGGGATGGTGGCGGTGGGGGATATAAGAAGGAGTCAGACCCAGCTCCCAACCTCAGGAGCCAGACAGTCACGGTCAAGTGTGAGCTTAAAGAGAGGAGCGCTTGGTTAGTGCTGTGCAAATCCAGACGGTGCTGTAGGCTGGGGATGCTTAAGCAATGAGTAGCCCGGCTAGCGTGACTCAGTGGTTGAGCATTGACCCATGAACCAGGAAGTCACCAGTTTGATTCCCAGTCAGGGTTCAGGCCTGGGGTGTGGGCTCGATGGGGGTGGGGGTGCCCTGAACAGGAGACCAGGGGTCTGACAGCTCTGGTTTGGGGATCCAAAGGCTGGAAGAGACTCCAAGAAGCTTTTAGGGGGTGCACCTATGTGGCGGGAGAGGCCAGTGTGGGGCAAGCGAGGCAGTGTGGTCCAGTGGTCCCCCGTGAGAGCAAGCCCACTCCAGCTCATAGAAATAACCATCTTTCCTTTGCAGGCCTGAACCCCGGGAAGGGACTCAGGGCCCCCTGACCAGTTTCCAGCAGGTCTATCTCTGGAAAGGTAAGCTCTGCGCTGGGGGGTGGGCAGGACACGGATGACGGGAACCTGCCCGGCCCTGGCCCTCACTCCTGGGGCACACTGCTCTCCAGGGGGAGACGGCAGAGATGTTCTTTCCAAGCTTGCGCTCTGTGTGGACTAGCAGGGCCTCAACTCTCATCAGATAAGACACCAAAGTCTGAAAGAAAAAGGGCAAGTGTGGAACCCAAGAAAGGAGGGAGGAAGGAAGGACTGGCTCCCGTGAGGCCAAGTGCGCTGGCCACGGGCGCCCTTGTTCCTGGGATGGGAGCTCTGACGGCAAGGCCAACTACGGGGAGGGGGCGCGGTTTCTCCCGGGAGACTTGGCCATGGGTGCCTCGCTCCCTGAGAGCAGGGGGAAGGGATAAGGCCCCTGGGGGTGGTGCATAGACTCCCGCCATGGTGGATGCACAGAGCAGGGCGCAGGGAATGAGGAGGCTCACATACCTGCATGTTCGGCATCGCCTTCCTGTGTGTCTGGCCTCCTTTGAGTTTCCTGAACGTTGGCCGAGTGCCTACTCAGAGCAGGGACTGTGAGGGCACGTGGGATCCATCTGAGGACTATGGGATGGGAGAGATGGGCAGGGCACAGCCTTGACCTGTGAGGCCGTCCAGTCTCAGGAGGGAGCAGGCAAGAAGTGGACCGTTGCCTGTCATGGCTGCAGGAGCTGGTGAGAGGCACGAAGAGAAGATCCCGGCCACTGTATCCCTTCCCTCCTCTCTCCACGATCCCTCCCTCCACGATCTCTAGTCCCTGAGAGAGAGAGAGAGAGCTGGCGACCTCTTCCTGTGCTTGTGAAATGGTGTGAAAGAGGCAGAGTGTGGGCCTGGAGTGGCTGGGGATGAATTCTGCTTCCATTACTTACCACCCGTGTGACCTTGAACACACATCAATTATCCCCTCCAGCCCAGACCCCCGTGGGTAATGCAGCAATAGAAATAGTACTTGCCCCGTAGAGTGGTGTGGGCACTGGCAAGACAATACATGTAAAGGGCTCAGAACCGTGCCCAGCTCATGATAAATGCTGATTCATGTAGGTGGTGGTGGTGATGGATGGGGAAAGAGCAGGAGAAGGAAGGAGGAGGAAGAGGAAGGGGGGAGAGGAAGAGGAAAAAAAGTACCCATTATCATCATCATCTTCATTTTGAAATGGTATGATGAGGTCATACACTCCCTCTCTCATTTAGTCTTACCTATAAGGTTACTATACAGGCGGGGGGAGATGACATTTTTGTTCATTTTTCCAGACAAGAAAAACGAGACTTAGAGTAGTTGAGTGAAATGTCCACAGGAGGTCCTGGGGTGGGACCCAGACCCTGGTCCCAAGTTCAGTGCCTCCCAGTTCTCAGGAAGTTCCGATAAAGGAGGAATTAGCTGGTAGAAAATCAAGAGATGGCGTCTCCCTGGGCTATTTCCCACACTAACCAGGAGCGCCCCTAACTGCCCAGTACCCCATTTTCCCCGCTCTCACTCTGCTGTCACAGGTGACCTGGTCCCAGCTTGGACATTTAATTTTCTTGACTCTCCGTTGATGCACTCGTCACCCACACGGGATAAGTTATTTCATCGCTCGGAGTCTCCATTTCCTTGAGTAAAATGGAAATCTTACTCCTTCCCTTCACAGGGATTGTAAAGGTCAATATTTATGAACATGTTTCATCAACCTGGAAGGGTTTATAAATGTTACTAATTTCAACAGCAAGGACAGTCATAGTTCTGCTTCTGAGCGGTTGGCTGACATTCCACAGAAGGCCAAAGAGTGCAGACCTGCTCCCCGGAATTACCCCAGGTCATGTGTTGGGCACCGGGCTGCAGACCGTGATGACCTCTCACGCATCCGCCTTGTTGGCCTCCTCCCCCCTCCAACATTAGAACAACGATTCTTTTTCTCCTCCTAGATTCTGACATGGGGTCTCGGTCCGAGTCCACAGGCTGTAGAAGGGACATGGGACCAATGTCAGCACCTCCACCAGAAGCAGGTACCAACCCCAAACCCTTTCGATCAACGTGGGTGTCTGGCTGTGGAGACAAGATGGGGATGGGAAGGGGCTAAGCGATGAGTGGACCATTCACGTGGCTCCGTTCTGCACCCGGGATTCCCTCTGAGCTTCTAGCCCAGCTGAGATGGGAGAACCAGCAGAGCTTTGTCTATTACTCGGAATCCCTCCCAGGGCTTGGGGGACAGGGGGAGCAGCTCCCCTCCTGGTGGGTGTGGAAAGGGGTCCTTCTTCTTGGAGTCACGTGATAGCTCTGTGGCTCGTAGGCGTGGACCTGGCTCAGAGTATGATGGTGGATTTTACAGAACCTTCTCAAGTGCCACAAAATCATTCACACTGACGTTGCCACGAGCCCTCTGTCCACAGGGCTCACTCAGGCTGAGCGCATATACTGGGCCACATGGGCCGCGCACAGACTAGGAGTCCCACGTGCCAGCCACCGCATGGCAGTGTGACCAGGGCTGCGGTGGGGACAGGGGAAGTGGGAGTGCAGGGGAGGGAGGGCACTAGGCGGCCTGCAGGAGTCGTCAGGACCTCCGA